TCTCCTATTAGTTTTGTTTCTCTGAAGAATCCTGATAATACAAAAACAAAGATGCCTGAAATTAAGTTAATTTGGCATCTACTAAAATAGGATGCCAAATATAATGAACCAGAAGGAATTCCTATTTTTCCTAACTGGAGGGAAGCTGAGAGGTCCCTTGCCCCGGCCTCCTTACCTCACTGATGAAGCGGCTAGGCCCGGGGTGCTCCGCCCCTTCCTGAGTTCTCAAGCCGGGCCCAGGCAGCCTGACCCCCGGGCCTGTGCCCTCCACTCCACTACGCATTCCTGAGAAGTAAGACACCTCATTTTGAAAACAAAAGAACAGGGTGGAAAAAAGACAAATCACAATACTGACAGATGAATTATTTAATCAGAAACAGGCCATTTCTCACTCCTCAAGCATACATACAATGGTAGTGCTTTTCAAACCATGACAAAGAAGTGTAGTATCTTAGAGGAATTATTTTCCCAGATCACTGGCTCTGGCTAATTAATACTTTACCAGAAAATTTTGCTCCAGGAACTTTTAACAGTTTTGCACAAAACAAGGAAACAAGAATTTAATGTTTAATCCATGCTCTGCACTGACTTGGTAGGAAACGTGGCAGGGACTAAGCTTTTGTATATACATAATGAGAAAGGAGTAGGAAGTAATTAATAAGGGGTATTATTACTACGGTATCTTTATTTAATATTCACAGAGGAGCAATGATCACCTGAAGGATAAACACCGGGCTCCTTCCCAGCGAGTTTACTTGTCACGATTTAGAGATGCGGGACAGAGGAGACGGAAGGCCCCGTGCCTCCCCACCCCCACACCTCGTGCTCTGGCTTTTCATAAAGCAGAACCGTTGTTCCTGGGTCACAAGATACTTACTTGACTGAGGCTGCTGCAAATTGGTGGCAGGTTAGACCCTCCGGAGCCTCTTTCTGATGGAAGCCTTGACTACACACCTCATCCCTCACACAAGTAGATGCCAGGCATCTGCAAGAGGAAAGTGAACTGTTAGGGCTTATACAGGCACTAGTCTGAGTCCCTGTTTCCAATTTTGGGAGAGTACATACCTAGGAGTGGAATTGCTGGGTCGTGTGGTAGTTTTGTTGAACTTTTTGAGGAACATGCCCTTAGAATATTTGGAGTCAATGGTAAACTGAATCTAATTAAAGCTCAGAGGAAGCCCATACTCAGCTCAGCTACAGAGCACACACTGGCCCAATAGAGGAAGGGGCATACCCTTATAAGACAATATGATTATTTACTGTGGGCTCTAGTATTCTCTTATTCTTTTAAAAATTTTTAAAAAGATTTTATTTACTTATTTTTTACAGGGGCGGAAGGGAGGGAGAAAGAGAGGATGAGAAATATCAATGTGCAAAAAAAACGTCAGTTGCCTTTCCCACACCCCCAACTGGGGACCTGGCTCACAACCCAGGCTTGTGCCCAGACCCAGAATCGAACCAGCGACCTTTCAGTTTGCAGGTGAACCGCACAAGCCAGGACATCTAGTATTCCTCTAAGAAAAATTTTTTTTTAAATCCTCACCCAAGGACATTTTTTTCATTGCTTTTTTTAGAGAGGGAAGAAGGGGGGGGGAGAGAGAGAGAGAGAAACATTCATGTGAGAGAGAAGCATCAACTGGATCCCTCATGTACATGCTCAGGCCAGGGATCCTACACACCCAGACCTGTGTTCAGACCCACAACCTAGGTATGTGCTCTCACTGGGATTTGAACCCCCAACCCTTCTGTTCCAGGATGATAATCTTACCAAGTGAGCCGCACTGGCCAGCACTGTATTCTAGTATTCTTTTTTGGTGCTTTTGCAACTCTACTGAAGTATACTTTGCATGCCACAAAATTCACCCATTTTGAGTGACCAATCTGGTGATTTAAATTATGTTCATAGAGTTGTGCAATCATCATTACAATACAGTTTTAGAATATTTTCATCACCCCCAAAATTCCCTTGAGCTCATTGGTACTCCCAACCCTAGGCAACCACAAGTCTACTTTCTGTCCCTCTTGGTTTCTGTTTTCCTTTTCCTCTCTGTGGAATCATAGTATAGGCAGATCTTTTGGATCTGATGCCCCAAGTATGAATATTAGTTTACTAGTTCAGATGTCCATAGAAATATTATATATCAAAAAAATATTATATATCTTTACTTTCTTTCCACCTAGTCCATGTAGGAGTATAGCCAAATCCACTGTCAGGCATCACTTGGGTCTGGAGTGGAGGCTCTTCTTCCCTAGGGCCGTGCAAAACTCCAGGAGGGCTTTTGGTACCATTGGAATTAGGGCTATTTATTCTTCAGCTCATTGACTTTGATGCTGATACCCTTATTATCCAGCATATGGGTTCTTCTAAGGAGAAGACAGGTTGTTCCATTACTTGCAATGACAAGCCTGAATCTGCCGAGGCTGGGGGACCAGGTACCCTAGGGTCCGATAGATGCATCACAGAGGGTATGATGCCAAGAGCTTCCTGCGTGTCCTCATGCTACAGTAGCTGAGGCCTGCGTCCTTGATGCTCAGGGGACCACCAACCCCCATCCTCTCCACTCCGGGGGAGTCATTCTTCCTTTCTACTGCTGTGAAAGCCCCCACCTCACCCTCTCTCTCTTCTCCCCCCAGGGTACCTGGGGTAGCTAATTTATTTAGGAAGACTGGGCTTTCTTTAAAGACTGGAAAGGTTGGTCATCCAAGAATCCTGCAAATGCCCTTGAGTTAGGAAACACAAAGGGATTAGGTGCTTTCTGCAAACAGAGGAAGTGAGGGGGGTGGGGAGGAGCACAGAGATTTGAAACAAACATCTCACTAAATACCCCACGACACTGCTTTACATTCACCTACCACAAAACCACATAGATAAACAGCTAAAAGCATGTTATAATTGCAGTTTTCTTAGCTGCACTTAGAGTCCATGTACTCACAGAAATGTGAGAGGAAGGTGGTACTACTCTGGAATATTCAGGCTAGAAACAAAGCTGGCTCTAACACTAGCAACTAACACCATGCTTTCTGCAAACAGAGGAAGTTAGGGGGGTGGCTTAATATGGTTTAAAATATGGTTTTGGAGGGCCCCTGCTGGGAGCTCCAGGCATTGTTCTGAGTGGTTTACGCGTATTATTCTTTTAATCTTCACAATGACTTTAGGTAATAAGTGCTGTAGATCAAAATCCCTTATTTATAGCCTTTGGAACAAGCTCTGATTTAGAATTCAGAATTGTTTGGATTTGAGCGAGACAATGCATACATGCAATTTGTATAACATAACTCCCCAAGAGGGTCTGAAGTAGCTCTCATTCAAATTAAGTAATGTGCCTTCAGTAAAACAAATAAATAATCACAAGAGGTCTAAATAAAGACTGAAAGGGTTTGTATCAGTTTAGGTCAGGTTTTGCCTCCAAGTGAATTAAAAGACTTTGGTTCTCAAAACTTTCTGTATTTTGGACCTGTATTATAGCCTCCATTTAACAGAGAGAGACTGAGGCACCCAAGAGTACGTAATTTGTCTAAGGGCACATAGCTAAGAAGTGCTGGGGGTGCTCAATGCTTTGGATGGCTCCTGCTGGGAGCAAGCCGGTCAGAAGAAAACTACCTTGACCACTTTCTCTACAAGAAATTCCCCTCCAACATTCCACTCCACAGCACTGGCAGCATTTTGTATGACCTTCCTCCACCCCCAATACTCATCCCTCCACTAGCTTCTCTGATACTCATTTTAGCTTACCTTAATATGGTTTAAAATAGAAGCAAGCTCAGTGGAATGTGACTCACTCCAGACACCCCTAACAGGCCCAAGACGGACCCTTGGAAATTGGATCTGGGGCATTTAAGACTTGCTAACTGCCCCTGCCCTGCTCTGAAGGGGTTAACCTTAGGGAAGTGTGAAGGGCAAAGCAGGGAGAGATGGCCTGGAGGAGGCAGTGTAGGTAGCAAAGCTGAATCCCTTGGGGATTGCCGGGTAAAGGAACATCTGCCTTTTCCCATTTGTAGTAGGCTCCACTCCACCTTCCGCAAAATAAACGCTCCCCCCTTGCGTTTACTTCCAACCAGTGAGCAGCGTTGACACGCAATCAGGTGCTGCTTTTATTCTCACTGATCTCAGCAGCTTCAGCTCCTTCATTCGTAAATCAAATTCTTCCGAGTTTGAAGAACTTCTTAATCTTCAGCACAAACCGGCTCTCGGAGTCTTTTTTCCAGACCACCTGGGACCTCGCTCTTATTTCTATTTTGTCTTGTTTGAGGGTTCTGTTTCCTGACAGGTGCACTGGACGGACCGCCTTGGCTGAGACCTTGATGCCGGGATCAGATGCCTTCTGAGTCCAGTCTCCTTGTCCTTGCTCATCCTTCCTCGAGGTGCTTAGGCTGCAAACTAGGGCAGTTCCCCTCCTTCCTCGTCTTGTTTCCTCCTTTTTGATTCTGTCTAATCCGGAGGCATCTTCCCTTCTCCGGTCCAACCGATCAAAACTCCAGCTTCCCAAGTACAATCCAGGTCAGTCCAGTAACCCCCCGCCTGGCGCAGTGGAGGCATACAGGTGTCAAAGGCTGGCCTGTTCCTTAGGAACAAGGGCCCAAGAAGCATCCTGCTACCTTTTTGTTTTTAATTAAAGGTCTATTTTAAGGGCAAAATCGGGTGGAAAGCCACGCATGCTCAGTTAACTATATCCAGATGTAAGACTTAACAGAGCTCAAGGATGCCTGGGACCTTCTCCTGTGGATCTGGCCTTGAATAGGGACCCCTGCAGGGAAGACCAACTCCGCATACTTGGCTTAATTAATAATTTATTGTATTTAACACCATCTGTCACGCTGTCACACCGACACCTGGGCGCAGTCCCCGTTGCCCCGATGCCTCCCCTTGACGCTGAGGGAGCCGCGGGGTTGGGTGGCTGCTGGCCTGCCCCTGGAAAGGAAGGGCGGGACATTGGGGGCGGGCCCTGCGGGGGGCGGGCCCTGCGGGGGGCGGGGCTGGGAAATTCCCCGGCCGACGCGGGGAGGCCGGCGCGGCTGTCGGCTGAGCGCCGCTGGGTGGGGTCGCGAGGCCGCGAGTCACCGGAGGCTCCCGGAGTCCACGCCGCCACCCCGACGCCGGTGCCCTGGGCGGCGTCTGCATCCGGATCCGGAGCCCTGCCCCAGCGGTCACGATGCCACGGAAGCTGTGACCGGGAGTGAGGCGGGAGTGCAGGCGCCGGGTGAGCGGGGGCAGGGGGTTCTGGGCGAGACGACGGCTCCTTCTCTGCCCTGGAAGCTGTTCCCGCAGCACCCTCCCCTACGACCCTGAACCAGCAGGGGTGTGGGTGGCGAGGAGGGGGGTGTCCCCTCCGGTGGGAGGGTTTCCAGGTCCCGGCGGATCCTGACCTGGTGGGAGAGGGCAGCGGGGGCGGCCGTACCAAAGCGCCCCTCTCCCTTTTTACCGGCCTGGCGGGCTGCAGGTGACTTACTCTGTAGGTCACGGAGGTGTTTTTAAGGGTGACAACCTCCCTCAGATTGGGAATGACTACGCAACCAGTTCCTCATTATAAGGGAAGTGGTTAAGGGTACACCTTTGGAAGACTTAAAAACTAAAATCTACCACAGTTTTCTGAGACGGCCCAGGAATACTAAAGAACAAGTGACCTCTCCCTAAGGTGGTGGGGACAGAAGAGCTGAAAGGACTCTTCGGAAGCCTTTCTGTCTAGGAGAACGTGTTTATGTGTGCGTGTGTATATACATACATACTTATAACGAAAGAAGGAATATCAATATTTGATGAGGCCGAGGAACTGTTTTTACTGTCGTAAATGTGTAAGCTGGAGGCAGTAAACATCATTAAGAGAAAATGAAACCCAGGTTCTGGTCTGCCGCCTCAACCACAGAAACTATTGAATGGAAATGCATGCCACAGAGCTGTTTAAAGACGAAATTGAAAGCCAAAGTCTTAGGACAGTAAGTTGGTTAGGCCATCAAAAGCCTCAGATCTGAGCAAGCGGCACTATTAAGAGGAGAACCCCCCTTGCTCTTTGCCTAGGAGGCCTTGGCCAAGCCCCAGGACGTGCTCAGTATGTATTGGGCTGGAGCGAGTCTGGAGCAGAGGCCAAGGCCAGAGACTGCCCTGGAATGGACTAGGCAAGTAAAATTTAAATGTAGCCGGTGCAGAGAGGACAATCATTAGCGTCTTTGAGGCTGATCTATTTTTCAACCGGGCCAGTTTGTATAGATCTTTATATATTGTGAACAATATTTAAAAGTTTTATCTTTTTTTGTAATTGACCTCAGGTTGCATCTTATGCTATGAAATCCAACTAAACTCTGCCAAAAAGAAAAATAAACTTTATTCTTGGAAGGAACTGGTCACATTATATTATCTTCCCATGAAGCCCCTTCCCTTAAGTAGAAGCACATGCGCACTCTCTTCTCTGAGCCCTGCTTTTTGTGAATTTTATGGAGACTTGGACTGTTTGATATATTCATTGGAATCTGTGAAATAGTAAATCCAAAGGAAAGAGGAAAAAATTAAACTGTTTTTTCAAAGTAAAATATATTTCTTTCAGAAATAAAAAAGTTATATTAAATGTTTTCACTTTGACATGTGGATGAGGATTGGATAATAGGATATGTGTTGTAAAATGACATCCAGATACCTTTGTAGTGATATTTTTTAAAAAACAGCACTAATTTTCAAAATAAGTTTTAAAAGTTGGATTTAAGAATCTGAAAATGAGTGCCCTAGAAATATAGAAAAACTCAATACCAGCATTCCGGGGTTGTCACCTACACGGTGGGAAGTGTTTTCCTAGTCTTAGACTTTAAAATACCTTGTTAAACTGTATTTCTTTTTCACTTAAACAAACATTTACTGAGAGCCTTCTGTGTGCCAGTCTTTAGGAAGAATAAAATAGAGATGTTAGCTTAAGTTTGCTGGAGTGATGGACTGGCATTGGATGATTATGGTACTTTGCAAAAAAGGGCCAAGGAGATGCAATATACAAAATGCAAGTGGGTGCTGAGAGAAAAGAACATTTCCTTTCACATAAGACATCTATTTGAGCTGAATATTGAACTGTCCAGTGAGTATTTGCCAAGGCAAAAGGGAGACAGATATTTCAGGAAGAGAGCAGAATAGATGCAAGGGCAAAGAAGCAGAAGAGGGTAGGAAACTGACCTTGATAGGCCATAATTGTCTTACTTGGAACAGAACTCTGCCTTGTGTGGGAAGGGTGTTAAGCAGTTGGATGAGCTGGTACTGGGAAAGAAACCATGGAGGAAGTAGGCTGAGGTGGAAAGAGATGAGAGTCAGAATTAAGCAAGTATTTGCCAAACCCCCAAATATGTCAAGTTATGCTCTAGGTGCTATGGACACAGCAGTGGAGTGCAATGTTGTAGTCTAGATAAGACAAGAAGGGCCTGAACCTAAGCTGGTGGGATGGAATGAAGGTGGAAGTGACAGCACTTGGTGACCCGTTAGATTTGGGGGAAGAATGGGAAGAATCAATCATAACTCCCAGGCTCCTGCCTGGGGGCAATGAGGTGAAACCTACCTCCATTTTCTATATGTTAGCAAATTTCAAAATCAAAATACCATTTCTGTCAAAAAAGGTGAGGCTTTTCTTACCCTCTTAGTAGGATACCTACTTTGAGTTCTTTTTCCAGGATGGTGATGGGTTTAGTTGATATCATCTTGGACTATTACTGAAACTCCTTGTGACCCCCAAACCAATTTGCCGATAGCCAGCTGTTGTCTCCAATCAACAAACAGGTTTCCACTCTTTAAAACTACTTTATCCACTTGGGAATTGAACCTATGAATACTTAATCAGCAAACCTGGAGGTTTAGTCACACACAGGGTAGAGGCCTGGGCTTATTCTTTATTTTGCCTGCTGGTCCAATGTCCAGTGGGTGGAAGTCAGTATAAGGTAGATTTCAAAATGTTTGATACTAATGACTTTCTGAGGATCCATCTGCCATGGAAACCGGACAAGACATTCTTGCATTGAGTGAAGGAGTTGGACTGGATCATTTTTAAGGCCAATTTAGGAAGGAGATTTAAGCTCATGCCTACAAAGTCAAGTCACTGCTATAATTACGTGACCTCTGGAATTAAGAACGATAAAAATATATAATCAGGAATTCAAATAGCGGATCTGGGAATTAAATCTTTGGACCTTTTACCTTCCAGCTAGTTCTCATTCTTAATGGCAAAATCTTGACAAATTCTGTGCTAAATTAATTTACTATTCTGCCGTTAAATAGCACCTTTGCTTAAAAAATGATACATTTTAGATGCAGACTAGTTGTGCTCTTACGAGAAGTTCTGTTACTAGAACCTTGGAATAAATGGCTTAGTTCCTATTTTCATAACCTTTGAAAATGTATGCAAGGGTCTCTAATGCATAACTGTTTGCTTAATTGAAAGTACTCAAGGTAATGTTAAAAATAGAGAATTCAGCTTCCTCTAATTGGCATTCTACCAACAGACATTTCATATATGCACTGTACTGTGGTAACTCCTAATGAGGCCCCCAAATATTCTAGAACCATAAAGTGCCCTATGAGTCATCCAAGATTGATTAAATTACTTTCAGTAAAATTTTGGTAATAATTTACATGTTTAAAAATCTTGGTTTTTACATGTTTATGTTCAGCATATATGCTAACTTTTTATTTAGTATGACATTTGCATTACCAAATAAATTTCCCTAACAATGCTGGATGACAAAGAGTTTACTGTAACTAGGACAGGCATATATATTGTATTGTTAGTGAGAGGAGGGCGGCACGGCCATGAGGGTATTAGGGTGTGTGCATCGAATTGTGTGGGTTGGACTGTGATTTCGCTAGAAGCTTAAGAACACTTTTTAAACTGAAATCAATTGTAATGATCATAATTTGCTACACAAGTCAATAAGCCATGGCAAGAGGCCAGGTGACTTCTGAAGGTCACACATGTCGTTGGTGGCACCCAGTATTTTTCCTACTGTCTCCCTGAGGATAACCCTGCTTTTTTTCCCTGGTCCTCATAAAATCTGGGCAACCTGAAAAAGGGAGAAGCACCAATGTAACTATAACCACTTTAACTTAATTATGATTATGTCTAAAAGCTTGGTGGAAGTATAAAGAAAAGTCAAGGAGGAAAAATCTGCCCAGTTTTCAAAGGAAAAAATCTCCTTTCTTCCCTCCACCTCCCCTTTCCTTCTCTTTCCCCTCTCTTGGAAAAATCATTAAGGAGAAACGTATGCATGTAATAAAATGAAACTAAACCCATCTACCGCTATCTGCTTAGACAGTTTTTTAAAGAAACATCTGTTAAATGTTTCCATTTATTTTTTAATTGTACCTTTGGCAGTATAATCATTGAATACTTGAGGACATTTAATGTGGACAAGTGATACACATTAATTACATCGATTTTATCTTTGGGTCTATTACCTAGAACTTTTAATATTCCTCCATAAAATAAATGAGAACACTGTTACTAAATAAAAACCCATTTTTATGAAATGTTAGCACCAACATCATTCTGTGCAAAAATGAATTTTATAGAAAGCCAGGAAAACAAGCATTATTCAAATTATTTTCATCCAAATTATTTTATGCAAAATAATGCAGATTATTTTATTGGGGAGAACAAAAGCAGTCCATCTAGTCACCAGATGCTAAGAGAGAGCCCACTTCAGTATTATTCTTCTTCTTTTCTAAATGAAATAAGATGTGTAAAACATGGATGACTTCAAGTGGTTCACAGGTGAATAGTATGCTTTGTCACTATTTTTCATTTTTTTAAGATTTTATTTATAGAGAGGTGGGAAGGAAGGGAGAAAGAGAGGGAGAGAAATATCCATGTGTGAGAGATACATCAATCGGTTGCCTTTTGTGCGCCCCCAGCTGGGGACCTGGCCTGCAATCCAGGCATGTGCCCTGACTGGGAATTGGGCCAGGGACCTTTGGTTCACAGGCCAGCATTCAATCCACTGAGCCACACCAGCCAGGGCTATCATTATTTTTTTTTTTTTTTTTACTTAATGAAATTTCCATCCTCATTAGAGACTTTCATGAGAATGCCTTTCTTTATGCTCGCTGCCCTAAGGAGAAGTCATTAAGGTGACAGTGTTGCAGGGTCTGCTGTCCTGTCAATAGTGGCACCATCTCTGATTACCTACAGGTTCCTTTAGACCAAAGGCAGGTCTTGGCCTCTCAGTTCCAGGGGACCTCCAGAGAGCTCAGGTATTACCTGGCTGGGAAGAAGCACCGTCCTGCACTCCAGGTGTATGGATGTATTTTATTATATGGATACACACAGTGCCCATAGATTGTATGATCCAGGGATATATCAGGTAGTGCACTTCTCTCTCCTCACCTTCCCGTGACTGATTCACTGACTCTGCAGTTATTCATAAAAAGGCTTATCATCATCTTCATGAAGTGTGAAAAAGAAACTGTCTACAGCATGTAGCCAGTCCTTAAAAGAGATTTCTGTGTTTGCCCAGGTGGGAGGCCATACAGAAGTAGAGTTGGGATACATTTCCTCTTATGTATGTCCACTTTGACCCCTTACAAAATAAAGTGGTATGATTAAAATAGTCTTAGAATATGCAATCATTAGGCAAGATTTCCTAGTTTTTTTCAGTGTGCTTTGCAAAATTATTAAATACCAAGGCCTAACTGTTCAGTCATACCTTTATCATATTATAGGTCTGTCTTTGAAACCACCCTTAACACTTGGTCGTGCCTCTTGTTAAGAGTGACCTTGGACAAGCTATGAAGCCTCAGTGAACCCAGCTTCATCCCCTGTAGAAGATACATAGTGGAGTTTCAGTGAGGATTAGACATGAATGGTGCAGTGATTCAGTACACAGTAAGCATCCAAAACATGTTAGCTCACCCTCTCTTCTTAGCCAAAAATATAAGAAATAAAATGTAGAGATTATGAACAGCTTTGAGATATAATTCACATACCATACTATTCACCCAAAATAGGGAGATTTGAGTTTAAAGATTTGCATGGGGAAGTCAATTTAATGATACTTTGCCCATGTCTACAAATATATATATATATATATATATATATATATATATATATATATATATATATATGGAAATTCTCTTGAATGACTTGTCCTAGGGTTCTTGGCCAGCATGATGCCATGCCTTCTCTTTCGCCTCCGTATCCCAGCTCCTCGCTGCACCCATCCCCACACAGACATACTCACACAGAAGCTAGAATATACCTTCTTTGTTTAAAAGGAAGAATCACAAATGTTCAATTATAATTGGAAAGAACATAGGCAACCCTTAGAATACTTTTTAGCAATTGCTAATGGATTTTTGGGATTCATGGGGACCCCTTGCAGAGAGGGGAACAGTTATTTTTCAGTTTGTAACTTTCCCATAGGAACTGCTGCCATGTCCCACCAACCTCTTCCCTGCCTGACTGAAAAGGGGGACAGCCCCAGTGAAACCACCGGAAATGGACCCCCCAATCTGGCTCACCCAAACCTGGGCACATTTACCCCAGAGGAGCTGCTGCAGCAAATGAAAGAGCTCCTGATTGAGAACCATCAGCTGAAAGGTGAGCAGCACTTGGCCTCTGTGTCCCTCCATTCACCCCTGCAGTCCTGTAATCCCTTTGTAATGAGGCTTGTAGGTGAACTCCATGATCTCTCTCAGGTTCCCTGGGGGCAGAAAGAGAACAGACTTCAGCTTTTAGTAAGGTAAAATGGTTTCCACTATTTACCCTAGGTTACAAGTCAGAATAAAAAGTATTTTTTGTATCTCAGGGGAATGGCATAATGACATTCAGCCCGTATAAAAGGAAAAAGAAAGAAAGGCTGCTATTATTTCAGAGTTAGTCCTAAATATTACCTTGTTAAGAGGAAGCATTCGAATACCTCGAGCCACGGCTTTGGTGGGGCCAGCGTTTGCATCTAGGAGTCATACACAGTAATCGGTCTAGCTTTTCATAGCTTTTTGTGCTTTACGGAGTTACCCAAATCAGTTTTATTTTACCCAGACTTTTGAGGACTAGAAATAACATTAGAACTGCTAGTCCTGCCTGGAAGCAAAAAACACTCATTTCGCTACATTCTTTTTCTGGCTGACCCTTGGGCCCTGGCCCAACATGGCATCTTTAGAGTCAGAGCCTCATGGTGATGTGGTCTGAGGGGCGGTTTGACTCATTAGATCAAGTCCAGTCCCTTGTTGTGTGATACCTTACTCTGAACCCCGTACAGAAGCCATGAAGCTAAATAACCAAGCTATGAAAGGGCGATTTCAGGAGCTTTCAGCTTGGACAGAGAAACAGAAGGAAGAACGCCTCTTTTTTGAGACCCAGAGCAAAGAAGCCAAGGAGCGCCTAATGGCTTTGACTCATGAAAATGAAAAATTGAAAGAAGCACTTGGAAAACTGAGAGAGAAAACAGAAAGGTCATTAAAGGTGAGCCGACTGATTAGTTGTGATTTTATTTTATTAGTATTTATAGTAGAATCTTATTTGTCTAGATTTCTAGATGAAACCCTTTCATGGTTCAGGTTAGATGGATGGTTTGCATTGTCTTGAAAGAAGAGTTCTTGCTGAGAAGACTGGTTGCCATTTTTTTGTGTATGGGATGATACTGCAACCAACTGAGCCACCCGGCCAGGAAAATTGGCTGCAATTTTAAGGTTCATGAATAATCTCTGTTGGGGGAAAGAAACTTATAAAGCTTCGACCATACTGATTGTAGTCGAAAGAAGAGAATCAATATTGTGTATTCATTATAGATTGAGCAGAAGGACCTCTGCCTAGAGCTGCCCAAGTTTTAGTTGTGGTGTATGTCTTTGATATAAAATTACATTTTAAAAATTTACTATTACTCATGATTTTTACTTATTGACCTTGTCCTCCCTCTCAGTCTAAAACAGATTCTCCACTTTATGTTTTACATTTACTTCAGAAAAAAGGTTCGACCAATGCCATGTTGTGATAGGAGATTATATAGGGTTGCCATGTTTTCACTGACTCAAAGAACCTGGGAAAATATACTCAACCAAAAGTGGGTGTCAAAGACGTTTGTGAAAAAACAAATCAGAATACAAGTAAAGCCTCTGCTCGTGCTCTAAAGTTCACTAAATATAATTTGTTTAGATGGACACCTGCTGTCCAAACCTGCAACTTAGCAACTCTGTGGAAGATGGAGCGCTGGGTTGATTCAGGGAGGATGTAACCCTGGATATCAGTGATTTTTGTTGAGACTTTACCTTGAATTTTGTTGATCTCTAATTCCTTAAGTGGGTCAAGAACGCAAACAAATAAAGTAGAAAGAAAATAATGTAAAGGGGATGATATGGAATAACCTAGAGAATGAAAAGTTGTTTAGAAAAATACCATAGGTTGTATCAATAATCTACTTATCACCTCATGCTCATGAGACAATGAAAACATTCAGCTTTAATACATTTGTATATGTATTGGAAATGTTTCACCATTGATAGGGTTTGTCACCTTTGATGCTTCAACGTGTCTTACAGCTCCAAAAGCATTAAGTCACTCTCTCTCATTGTCTAAATATTTTTGAGGTATGGTAATCTGAAGAAATGATCACCTGGATATATGAATAATTTTCTATTCTCTGGAAGAAACCATTTTACAGCTATTTACCTTGGCTTTTGGGATGTGATCTGACAGTTGGCATCAGCGAGTTGGGGCCTATTACACTGAAGTCAAAAGGAAGCGTCCAGAAACAGATGGTCTGTCTGAAATAGTCTTCCTGGAAGAAGTTGAGTTCAGAATCTAAAGCTCTAGACAGCTCCTTTCAATGCAGATGATAAGTTGAAGCGAGATACAAGCTGGACCCAGAAATGAGTCCTTGGGACAAAGGACTTGGGTGTTTGGAACAAAGAGACACTTACCGCTCTTTAAAACACTTGGTCATCAGCTTTCCTCCCCAAACTGTGTTTTCCAGGCCTGCCCCTCTCTCTCTGCCTCTTTCTTAATTTTTGTCTCATGGATCATTTGAGATGATTTTTAAAATTTAGGTCCTCATGTCCCTGCTTAGGGAAGCTCTTAAGGCCTTGGACTTCGCTTACTTCTGCGGGCCCATCTTTGTGGCTGTTTCTACAGGGAATGCCCTCCTGGCCTTGAGGGCTTCTCACACCTTCGGTGCCACACGAGGCAAGGGAGTTGGGGATCTCCTTCAGAGAGCTGCCCTCCCACCCTCGGGGTGAGGTGGAGGCATTAGTGATTCGGTCCAATTGCACTGTCCATTATTCGGTCCAATAACGTCCCTAAAGAGTACTCTTTAACTTTTTAGTTTCACATTGCTAGGTAAAGGTCATCAGAGAGACCTTTCTTCTTGGATTATAAAACGGCATAGCGACCTGCACACATTACCAGGACAGTAGGATAGAGACATTATACAAATACACAGGGAGACAGCAGTTGCCATCTTGCACAAAGGTCAACAGTAAGTGTGCAAAAGCGATGACAGCATAACAAATAGTGGAGCGGGGGTTGAGATTTAGGAGAATGATCCAAGGGATCTCTAGTCCAGGAAGGCATTGAAAGACTCCATTGTTAAGATGGAGAGAAATTTAAAGTGCTATTTTACAAGGTGTTTATGGACAAATAAGTAGATTCATAATATCCCAAAGATAATTAAGAGATGCTCACAATTGTGGAAAGGGACAATTAACATGAAAGTCCAAGATTCTAGTGTCAAGGCATTATATCCCTGGTTCTCAGACACTTGTAAAATTATCTTTCCAGGAACATACCTTTATAAGGAGACAGAAAATTCAAATAAAACTCTAAAAGCCTCTTATAAAAAAAGTAAATAAAACTCTATTTACTACCTTTATGCCAAGGTACTTTTTAAAAATCCATTCTATAAAATGTCCCCTGACAGGTCAGGCGGGTAAATGTGAAGCTTCCTACGGGGCACCATCTTGCCCTCACCTGCTTGCTTCCTGGTTCCAGGCTGAGCAGTACCTTCCTTGTATGTTTTCACTCCTTTACGTGTATGTTTCCTGGATGTGAGTCATTACTAAGAGAGATTGCACAAGCTTTTCACCCTTCCTTGTACACCCGACTCTTCCGTTTCACAATGAGCTGCTTTCCTCTGAGGCCTGTGGTAGATTGCCAGTGGGCCACTGATCCAGATGAAGAGGAGCATGATCTTGATCTCAGTGGTGGGAGGGGCGCTTTCCTGCTGCACTTTTTCATAGTTCATGGACGTCCATTTTAATAGCTTTACGGTCCAGGCCCATGCCTTTCTGATACTTTTAGGTTTGGCTGTGAGCCTTTGGGTCTGTTTACCATTCCTCAGGAAATCTATCACAGAGGGTGTACGTGTATATGCGTGTCAATTTTCTAATGCGTTGCATCGTCCGATAACCTCAAGTGCATGTATTTCTGGTGGTGCCATGTCCATAAGAGTGGGAAGGTTTCCTGAGGAGGAAATCAGAGAGGCCGAGAAGGTCACAGCTGGAAGAGACCATGTGATACCATGTCTTTCTTTCTAACTTAAGAAAACTGAGGCCAAGACATTAAGTAAATCTACTCAAGACAACACATGCACTAATTAGCACTGTGGACTCTGGTCTGTTCTCCCTACTCCCAAGTAAAACACTGCAGCCACACAGGGTCTTGCTCTTCTGATTTTGTCATATGCAGTAATTGCAAAAAGACGGACACAATATGAACTTGACATTAGTGAAATATTTATATTTATAATTAGTGTTTATTGAGGTTGAAATTTAATTATATTACCTTTTGTACCAGCCTCTGAATTTTCAGTTTGCTTATTTCTCACCAGACTTACGTTTAACAACCTTAAACCACCAACCCATAGTATTATAGTACCCAGACTATAGCCCTGGCAGAATTTTGAACCTTTCATTGTGTTTTTGCCATTACTGTACCAAGTGATGTCCCTGGTGCTCTGCCTTCTGAGTAGACTTGACAGGTATGGGGAGGGTATACATTTGTGGGGAGAAAAATAAGCAAGGGGTTGAGCTGTGGCAGCTTTGTCCTTATTGTCTGGTGTTTTTGGACTACAATTTACAATTCTGCCATTGCCAAAGTCTGGACAGTTATTTTCATTATATCAGGTTATTCCAGCACGCTAAGGAAGCATGTCTTTCTTGTCATGAGGTTATTTTAATTTTCTATTATTTGAATGAAGTAAAATAATGTTGATTTTAAATGTTGTGTCAAAACAAATTGCCAAGGAAAAGCAAGATTTTTCTACTGTAAAGCACAGGGGATGAAGATGTTCAGAAACTGCCTTGCCAATGGGTGTGGGACATTCGAGTTTGACGCCGGGACCTTAGTTTGATCCGTTACCTTGCTTTGCTTCTCATCATTTCCAGGACCCTACTGAGGACCCAAAGGTCCCCAAGGCAGAGGCAGAGCAGGAGATGGAACAGCTGAAGACCCAAGTGGTGCGCCTTCAAGCTGAAAAGGCCGATCTACTGGGCATTGTGTCTGAATTACAACTCAAGTTGAACTCAGGAGGCCCCTCCGAAGACTCCTTTGTTGAAATTAGGATGGCTGTAAGTGTTTTGGTTTTGTGTGACATAAGTTCTAAAACCTCATCGGGACAGCTGATACAAATACCACCATATCTTTTTCAACACAAGGAAGCCACTTAGTGGCAAAATTTCAGTATAGCAAAGGTAAAGTGGCTCTTGCTTTTTAAGTATAACACAGTGCTTGTAAGGGTTATCGTAGCTGACATGGAAAAACATCAGTTACCTTTTATGACGAAACAGCTAGTCCTTTTCCCCCCCAATATGTCTTCACAAATCAGACATTTATGTGACTGACCTAAAAGAAAAAACAAACTTTTTCAGACTGGGTCTCTAAGCTGTGTTCAGCATTTCACTTAGATGAGCATAATTATGATCAGATGCAGACTAATGGCTTTAAAACACTTACTAATATTAGAATCCTCTTTTCAAACAAGGTCTTATGAAGAACCATGATTTGTTAAAAATAAGAAGTGGAGAAAAGAAGGAGCAGAGCAGCTCTGGTTGTAGTGGAGGGACTACCTTGGCTTCTCTAACAGCAGCTACTCAGAAACCTCTGAGAATAGTATGAAGCTGGTGTTACCAAACTGGCATTTATGTGCCACCCAAAATGAAGTGAGGACATGTCCTGACATATTCCTAAGCACACACGCAGCATCTGTCATGGCTATATTGGGTGTGCAACAGTCCTACTAAGAAGGCGGATGAACCACAGCGGGGCCTCTCTTTCCTTATTACTGAAAAAGATTGAGCCCTGGCTGGTGAGGCTTAGTGGACTGAGCACTGGCCTGCGAACCAAAAAGTCGCCAGTTCAATTCCTGGCCAGAGCACATGCCCGGGTTGCGGGCCAGGCCCTGAGTTCGGGGCATGCGAGAGTCAGCCCATCAATGTATCTCTAGCACATTGGTGTTTCTCTCCCTCTTTTTCTCCCTCCCTTCCCCTCTCTCTACATAAATAAATAAAATTTAAAAAATAATAAAATAAAAAAGATAGAGAAGAGAGGGGAAAAAACACACAAGGGTCAAATCATCTGTCATACACATTGTCATTTTAGCTTTGTCAAAGTTAATGCCTGATAAAGGAAAAGAGATTAATTGTGTCTCTGAAAGAGAAAAATGTACGTTGTAGATAAAGGGGGTGTATGGGGGAGGTGGCAGGCAATTTGAAAAAACTAAACTACTGGATGTATCTGAAATACTAGAGAGTGACTTTTTTTACTTTCTGATTCATTTGCTGGACTAAAGATTGATAGAATTGGAAAATCGCTCTTAGTAATCTTGCCATCCATGCCCCCTGGCAAATTTTAGATGCATTAATAGTGGCTGAAATCAAGAGAATTAAAATACCCTTTGAAAGCACACTTTGCCAGAATATCCTTTCTGCAAATGACTAAACATGATGAAACACAAATTTCATCAAAGAGCATTAACCTTCTGCAAATAACTGATAAAACTCAGGAAGCCCAAAAAGGATATCAGAAGTTTCCAAAAGGCTTGGCTTTGCTTTTTTTTCTTTCTTTTTTTAAGTTAATAAACCCTGACTTTTATTAGATATTCAATGAACAACTCAAAACAATAAAACTAAACATTACCTCCAGTTAATTTCTCTTTTAGCCATGGCTTTGATTAATATTCAACACATAATAGATATTTAATAAAATACCATAGATTGACTAATGGTAGTTCATAAGACTAAATAGAATTTTAAGGTTTATATCTAGTTTTGGTGTTAACCCAAGCAAAGAAATCTATATATTAAAACTTTTACACCCTGGTTGGTGTGGCTCAGTGGATTGAATGCCAGCCTACAAACCAAAAGGTCACCAGTTCGATTCCCAGACAGGGCACATGCCTGGGTTGCGAGCCAGGTCCCCAGTTGGAGATGTGCTAGAGGCAACTGATCAATGTATCTCTCACACATCAATGCTTCTCTCCCTTTCTTTCTCCTTTCCTTCCCCTCTCTCTAAAAATAAATAAAATCTTTAAAAGAAAAAACTTTTACTTATATTTAGTCCAAGATAATTTACTTAAATAAATTGGGAGCTTCAGAATGAAAGAAAACAATGGGATTAAAGAAATGGGGTTTTAAGTCAGAAAGCCCTAGACCTAGTTCACAGTTTAGAGGTTCAGTTATTTTGTGCCTTGGGCAAGTGGCCTAATACCCCAGAGCCTGTTTTCTTATCAATATAAGGTGAATAAAGAAATACCACCATTCTACCATACTATTTTCTTCTCCTTTTGCTTTTTCTCCTCCTCATTTTTCTCATGAGAGCAGAATGTAAATTAATGAAGCCTAGTTTTCTAAGCACTTCCGCTTAGAAACACATAAAGGAGCCCCACATAATTTCCGTGTCATGATCCAAGAGACACTGTGAGCATTACATCAACCGCCAGCTATAGTCATCTTGAAGGAAGACTAAAGCTACCCATTCATTCATTCATTCATTCCTCTAGCAACTTATGCACTCCCCCACATGCCAGTACTGGGCTTGGTGCCACTGTTGGAGATACAGAGTTGTCTAAACAGGCATGTTCACCCCCCCGCTACACACACGCAGAGTTCACAGCTAATATGGAAAGAGATAAAATGAATAAGCCCACAAACAAATACAAAATTGCTATTTTTGAAAAGTGCAATGAAGAAAAAAGTGTATGTGAGACAATAATGGGGAATGTCATTTCTGTTAGGGGCATCTGAGAGCAGGTTCTCTAGAAGCAAAGCCTGAAGCGGGGATATTTGTGCAAGTGATTGAGGGAGCACCCTCAGGAGAAGCCTGTAAGGGAGAGAGGTCAGCAGGATAGGGCAGGGGCAGAAGCTGGGCAAAGAAGCTGAGGGTTCAGGGGACCTCTAGCCTCAGCATGAAACTAAGAAGAGATCAATAATGGAAGAAAGTTTCATACTAGCTTACGGATTTAGTAAGACTTTTTAAAAGTATCTTTGTTATTGCCCTGTCTGTGTAGCTCAGGCAGTTGGAGCATCGTCACCACTATAAGGTTGCAAGTTTGATCCCTGGTCATGGCCCATGCAGAAATCAGCCAATGAATGCATGCATGGGTGGGTGGAACAGCACTTTGACATCTCTGTCTCTCTCTAGGTTGGAGGTTTGATCCCTGGACAAGGCGCATACAGGAGGCAACCAGTTAATGCTTCTCTCTCACATCAACATTTCTCTCTCTCCCTTCCCCTCTCTCAGTCTGGATGGGTGTGGTTTCTTTAATTCCTAGTTGTCAAACTTCCATTTGACTCAATATCTGACAGTTCTGAGTAATGGTTGTTCTGTAATTTAGCAGTGATTTTGCTGTGGTTGTGTGAGGAGGCAAGCCATGTTTACCTACACTGCCATCCTGATCGGAGGAGGCTTCTTTCTTCAGTGTACATAATATGTTCCCTTGCTAATGAGGGACAGTTATTTTTAGTGTAAACCTGTTTCTCTTGCTTTGCTTCTGTGAACTGGAAAGCACTGCCCAAGATTTAGGAAGGGCATACGTAATCAAAATTAGCCAGAATATCTTTGTGCATTTTTGGAAGATTATCCCACTACAACATTAGAATAGAAATGTCCTTTAAGTCATTTAAGTGGTCTTAATCTTCTTTTCCTGAGCAGCCCAAAATACATAGGATTTTTAATAGGAGTTGACTTCGTGAGCCTTGTCACAGAAAACTGCCTCTTTTTCAACTTTGCTTCAGCAAGTTCTAGCATTTTGCATTTTAAAGGACTGTAAAGGGAAGGTGTGTGGAGCTGTTACCAGCTCTGTGTGACCTTAACCTAAGAAAGAAGGGAACTGCCAAGGAGAGCAGGAGATAAGCTTTCATGTTATGGGGTCAGGTTGACTGTGCTGATTGAGAAGGGGTACCTTCGTCTAGATATTTATAAACCGGACCGGGCACGTTGGGTGAAGGAAGGGTACATTTCCATTCCATTCCAGTGACCGACTTTAAACATCTCACATTTTAAATGTTTGGTAGGCTCCTTGGGCTGTGCTTTATCAAAATTCTTGATCTTTAGCCTTTTTTTCTTTCGATAGAGAGTTTGTCTTGTAGACGTATTGTGTTAAATCCCTTTCATTTCTGCTTCTACAGGAAGGAGAAGCAGATGTGGCAATGAAAGACATGAAGAGGAGTCCTGGGCCCTCAAGAACTGATGCCATTGACAAGTATGTGGAGAAAGACTCGGGCCGTCGGCTAGGCAGCCTGGGCAGTCTTGTCACTCCCTGGTCCCCCTGGGAGGTCAGACATCATGGGCTGAAAAAGTAATTTCTTATTAAATTATACCAGGACCTTTCAAGAATGTTTGATTGGAATGCTGTTTAATGTTACAGCCAAAACTGGCAGAGAATAAAAACAAGGTGTGGTGCCTTTTCAGGCTAATTAACCCTTACCATTCAAGGTGTTTTATCTCCATCAGATAAAAAGTGAAAGCAAACTTGTTCTCAGTCAAAAGACCTATATACCCTAATTTGCATACCAGTGCAGTTTGAGCTTGATCAGGCTGCCTAACTTGTACCATATTTCCATTCTCTCTGCCCAGTTCATTCCTGACTACAAGCCAAGGTGACGAATACTACTGGGTAATCTTCTGTAACAATGACTGTTACTGCTCTGAGTCTCTGGGTGTTTCTTGAAAGTGCCCAGATATCTTACCTGGGGAGTCTCAAGTTCACCTGTCCCAAGTATATATTAGGAAGCAGATGTCTTAAATGATGGGGGAGGGGCTTTGAGGAGCCAGTAAAAGGACCTGGACCCTGAGACTCTCGCAGGTATCACTTGCCAGAACAGGCTGTCAGGGCATCCTCTGTAAGCCGGTTCGTACTATATTAGTCTACTGAAAAGAGACAGCTCTCTGAAAGTTTCTCTGAGGATCTCTTCTCACATACACTTTTAATACCGTTTTTCCTCCAACGTGGTGAATGTATTGATAAAACATGAAAATGGGTTTGTTTGTTTTTTTCTGTTATGTTCCCAAGCTCTTGTATAAGGGAGATAATAAGTATTAGATAATGTTCTTTCCTCAAGCAGGGCAGTTGGCATAAATGAAAGTTATTCCCTTTTTTAGTTAGAAGTTAGAACTTCCTGATTTTCCCCATATTTCTTTTTCACATCAAAAGACTTTACAGCAAGTGGTGGGAAGAAAGAAGCCCTGTTTGACACTTCCAAGCCACTTCCTCCTCATTTAGATCCATATGCACAGACCACTTCCTCTTTGGGGCCACACAGCTATTTTATTATTTTTTTTATTGCAGCTTCTTTATCCTGTTTGAAAATATATTGAGGAGTAAGAGCTTGGTTTCTAGGTTTGGAGTTGGAGCTCAGTAGTCGAGAACAGGAATTTACTCCTGGCTGTTTATTAGATGGGTGAATTTGAATAGATTGCTGAAAGAGTAGCTGCCATTCTCATCAGCAAAGTCACCTGGAACGTTTAGTTGTGGTGGTCATGGTTTGTTGCTTGTCATTGAACTGCCTCTTTATTTAATCACATTTTGAAATCAAGAAAAATATTTGACATACCAACAGTGCCTACATTCCTGTGCTCCAATTATTTGAATTTCTTCTCGAGAATATGATGGCTTCTGTCAAGTTGAAAAAAGGCTGGCAGTCTGCATGTCACCACGGGTGGCATGTGCCCTTGGGGACTTTGAGGCTAGTTTTCTAGGAAAGCTGGGCACCAGAAACCAGGACTGCTTCTGCATCGTTGTTTCTGTGGGTCCTGTGGTCTGGTGGTGTGAGCGCGGTGACTGCTTGGAAGAAGTGAGCACGTGCATTGTATAAGACAAGCCTCCTCCTTAGTCCCCACTCTTTCCCTGCAAAGCCTGGAGGCCTGTGACACAGGGGTCACGGGGCCAGCTGTGCTCGGTCAGTGACTGAGAATTGGAGAGTGTTCTGGAAAGCAGTTCCTTTACGTTGGTTCCAGTTATATTCTTAAACTTTGACATTTTTGTTTTCTGATTAAAACATTTTAACCTTTATACTGTCTTGATGTAGGAATGGATCTGCAGAAGGAGCCAGGAATTATTTGGAATCTGAGGAATTAACTGTGAGCCAGCTCCTGCTTTGTCTAAGGGAAGGAAACCAGAAGGTGGAGAGACTTGAGAATGCACTCAAGGAAGCCAAGAAAAGGTATGAAATAGATAACTTGAAATATGCATTGATTGCTTTTTTAAAGCTTTTTTTAGATAGCATTAAGATACCAAGCAATTCATCCATATAAAGTGTGCTTTTTGCCTGGACCAGTATGGCTCAGTTGGCTGGAGCGTCACACTGTAACAGAAATGCTGCTGGTCAGAGTTATATAACCGTCAGCACTTTATAACTTTAGAAGGTGTTTTTCTCCTCGATAAGAAATCCAGTATCCATTAGCACACATTCCCCATTCCTCCCAGTAATCTGCTTTCTCTGTAGATACACCTATAATAGACAGTTCATATAATCAGAATCACATAAATATGTGATCTTTTGTGGTTGGCTTACTTTACTTAGTGTACTATTTTTGAAGTTTATCCCTGATATAGCATATATTGGTTTTGTTTTTGTTGCCGAATAAAATTTCAATGTATAGCTATAAAACATTTTGTTTATTCATTAGTTAATGAACATTTTGGTTGTTCCCACTTATTGCCTATTGTGAGTAAAGTTTGCTCTGAACATTCATACACAATTTTTTGTGTAGATGTATGTTTTAAATTCTCTTGGGTGTATACTTAGGAGTGGAATCACTGCGTCGTATCATAACTCTGTGTTTAGTATTTTCAGGAATTTTCAAACTCTTTTCCACAGTAGCCTCACCATTTCACATTCCCACCAGCAGTGTAGGAAGATTCCAGTTTCTCTACATCCTCAACTCTTGTTATTGTCTGTCTCCTTGATTATGGCCATCCTCATGGATGTGAAGTGGAATCTCATTGTGAGTTTCATTTTATATCCCTAATGACTAATAATGTTACATTTTAATTATGGTGTGTCTTGGTGCGGGCCTCTTTGGGCTCACCTTGTTTGGGACTCTTTGCACACCCTGGACTTGTATGACTATTTTCTTCACCAGGTTAGGGAAGTTTTCTGTCATTTTTTTACATAGGTTTTCAATTCCTTGCTCTCCCTCCTCTCCTTCTGGCACCTCCATTATGTGAATGTTGGTATGCTTGAAGTTGCCCCAGAGACTCCTTACACTATCCTCATTTGTGGGGGGGTTCTTTACCCTTTTGCTGGTCTGATTATGTGTTTTCTGCTTCCTTATCTTCCCAGTCTCTGAATGGATCCTCTGCTTCATCTACTCCATTACTGATTCCCTGTAATATATTCTTTATTTCAGTTAATGTGTCTTCATTTCTGACTGGTTCTTATTTATGTTTTCTAGTTCTGTTTTTATGTTTCCTAGCTCTTTGTTGAAATTCTTAATAAATTCAGCTACTCTTCCCCTGAGTTCACTGACAATCCTTAGAACCAGTGTTTTGAACTCCGCATCTAGTAGACTGCTTGCCTCCATTCTGTTTAGTTCTTTTTCTGGAGTTTTGTTCTGTTCTTTCATTTGAGACATATTTTTTTTGTCTCCTCATTTTGGCAGCCTCCCTTTGTTTGTTTCTAGGTAGAGCTGCTATGTCTCCTGAGCTTGGTAGGTGTCCCACATTGGCCCAGCCTCCCCATTTATGTGAGCTGGGCACTCCAGGCTCCCCGCCCCCCTGACATGGGCTGGTACACCCTCCTGTTGTAGTGGAGCTTTGATTGCCAGTTACTGTCGTCATATACAGGTCATGCTGAGGCCAAATTCTTCTTGTTTGAGAGATTTTAGGAAAGTTTGAAGCATTAGCCACAACAGGACATTCATATGGAAGAGCCACTAAAAACAGCTTGGACTCACAAGTTGGTTGGTGTCGAGTCTCAGGGAATTGCCATGGCAGGGCAAACAGGGCAGAGCCAAGAGATGGAGACTCAGATTTGGTGCCCACCTGCAGACTCTGTGGTAAAAGGGCTCAGAAAAGGAGCAGTGGCCTCTGCTAGCACTTCTGCTTGGGAGTGAGCTGCCCCCAGCGCTCACCCTGATGCCAGACAGTTCAGTTCCTCTCTGAATGTCCCTGCTGCCTTTTGAGCTGCTGCCTCAGCACTGGAGCTCAGAGCAAGTGAGTCTGCTGGTTTTTACACCCAAAAGGGATGGCTCCTTCTCTCCTGGCACTGGGACCCTGGGCTGGGGGCCCTGGTGTGGGGCTGGGACCCCTCACTCCTCAGGGGGGGACCCCTGTAGCTGAGGTAGCCCTCCTGATTTTATCCACCACATATGGGTGTGGGACCAGCTAGTTCCATGTCTCTGCCCCTCCTCTTTCCAGTCTGAATGTGACTTCTTTATATCCTTCATTGTAGGACTCATGTTCAGCTAAATTTCAGACAGTTCTGAACGACGGTTGATCTGTAGTTCAGTTGTAATTTTGATGTCGTTGTGGGAGGATGCAAGTACTGCATTTACCTATGCTGCCATCTTCTACAGCTGATTTTAAAGGGAAATGTTATGTTTTAATAGTTTTGAGTGATCAGTGTGTTAGTTTATTTCAGCCATGTTTCCTCTCCTCAGTTGTGTACACCATTTTAAGTGTTAAGTTTAGCCAGTAAGTCATCCTTACTTAGACAACATGATTAGCTTTAATAATAAAGGTGTAAACTTAGGAACTTGCTAATTATTACATCCTAATGTTTCTATATATATATATATATATATATATATATATATATATATATATATATATCCTGCTTTCAAAATAATTAAAGCTTTATTTCTGGAGACTAAGAGACATAGTTCTTTAGGTGGCAGCTAGGAAGGCAGGCCGGTTTTGAGATGGGTGTTTCACATCTCAAATTTTGACACTTTACTGTCAAAAGGGTGACAGTAAAGTGTCCCCTTTGCAGTTGGGTTAAAATCCTGCTTTGTGAGCTAGCCTTATGTCAGTATTTAACAACTGGCAAGTCAGTGATTAGTTGCCAACATTAATGTTGCCTACATGGATATCAGGATGAAACCTAGGAATAAATCACTGATAAACTAACAACCTGGCTTGAGTTATACGCCATATAAGATATGATGAAAACACATTCCATGTCTTTTTTCTCAAATAAATTAGTCTTCATCCATTGTCATTAATCACTAGAAACAGGGGTATACACAGTCTAAAATTTATTCTGAAAAATTTTAGGTGATTTGTGGGAGGAGGGACAGTAAATTTGTCTTACTTTCATTGTTTACCAAGATTAATATATCACATTTTTGTGTCTTCTAAACAAACTGAAACTGACAGCCAGAGGGTAAGTGTGTAGGAAGCATGGCCCAGGACAATCGATAAGTAGCAGGGAAAAGTCAGCCCAAGATGGAAAATTTGCCCTCGGGAATTAAAATAAGCTGTGATTCCAACGTATGGCAATATGATACCGAAGTGTGTGAGTGGTGTGATAAAGGCTCTCCTTTAACTCTGTACCAACTGGCTTAGCTGGGAACAGTGTCTGTATACCAATTAGATTTGACAGTTTGTAACAGATACCAATATTACTCTGTTTTTATCGCAACTAAGTTCCTTTTTAAAAATCAGTTTTGCATTCATATTGTTTAAAGAAGTGGTTGTTGTATAAGCTTCTTATGGAGAAAAGTATCTCCTTTACCAAACCTCCCACCCGCTTTTCCTGTTTGCCAGACAGCCACTTGCAACATATGTAGCTGGTTCTTTTAGTACATTGAAATTTAGTTTGATCACTAATCAGTGTTTACATCATTATGCACACACACACACAGTGCTCAGTTAAGCTATGCTTTATGCCTTGACCACTTTGCCTTTTTTATACATTGTTTTTACCTCTTTGAATAATTACCATTTTAAATTTTGTTTATCCCCCCTCCCCCCTCTTTCTCAATGAGTAAGTCTCAACATATTAGTATTGTCCACTAGTAGTCTCTTCTTGAAGACTTTTCTCCTGGAGTCTGGCCTGGTTGCTTTCTGGGGCCTTCTATATTGCAGTTATCTTGGAATCTCCCTTTGCCATCTTCCTGTGGAACTCCTTCAGCTCTCCTGTGTTGGATCACCTGTTCCCTGAATCCAATGTTTTTCTTTTTTTAAGATTTTATTTATTTTTTAGAGAGAATGAGAGGGAGAAGAAAGAAAGAGAGGCAGAGAAACATCAATGTGTAGAGAAACATTGATGGGTTGCCTCTCAGTCCGCAACCTAAGCATGTGCCCTGACTGGGAGTCAAACTGGCCACCTTTTGTGTCTCAGGCTGGAGTTCCATCCACTGAGATACACCAGCCGGGGCTCCAGTGTTTTTCTTACTTTAAAAAAAAAAATTTCATCCTGGCCAGGTGGCTTAGTTGGTTGAGCATTGTCCCCTGCCCCAAAAGTTTGTGGGTTCGATTCCCAACCAGGGCACCTACCAAGGTTGTGGGTTTGATCTCTGGTTGGGGTGCATACGGGAGGCAACTGATTGATGTTTCTCTCTCACATCGCTGTTTTTCTCTCTCACTTTTCCTCTCTCTATAATCAATAAACATACCCTCTGATGAGGATTAAAAAAATGTTTTTTCGAATAGGTCTGACCATATACCCACTAATTTACTACAAAAGAATATATGGGGAAGATAGTTTCTAAGATTTGCATATCTGAAAATCTCTGCCTTAATAATTTATGGATAGTTTGGCTATATATAAAAGTCTATCCTGGATATAATTTTCCCTCTGAATTTTGAGTGCATTACTTCATTGTATTCTAGCTTCAGATATTATTGCTGAGAAATCCATTATAATCTGATTCTTAATCTTCTGGAATGAAACCTCATGTGCTTTGGTGCCCGTTTGTTTTTCATGCATTTCTCCTGGACACTTAGGCTCTTTCATTTTGCAAACTCATGTCCTTCAGTTATTGAAAAATGATCTAGAATTAATTTAGGTATAAATCTCTTATCCTCAATTTTCTGTTCTCTCTTTGTAGCGCCACTTATGAATTGTACGTCCTGGAGAAATTCTCTAATTTTCTTAACTATGTTCCTCTTCCTTCTTTCTTCTCTTTTCTGATACATTTGATCAATTTTCATATCCTTTCGTTGGAGGGAGAGTGGAGTCTTTTGAATGTTCCATGGTTATGATGTTGCATTTTGTTATCATTGTAATGTTTCCTGTATCTCTAAGGATATTAATGATAGTGCTTTACAAGTTCCAACCCCAGCTATTAATGGTATTCTTTGTAAGTTCCAACCCTGTATAGTAATGATAGTTCTTTGGAAGTTCTAACCCTGGATATTAATGAGTTCTTTGGAAGTTCCAACCTGCACGCCAGCATATTCTGATTTCAGTAAGTTGCTTGTTTTCTTTGTCTACTTTTTTCTTTTCAGTTTAAGGTTTTCCTCAAATGTCTAGTAATCTTGGCTCTCTGATCAGATGTAGGAGGGGGAATTAGAAGCTAACTGTGTGCATGTGTAGGGAGATCTGGCTAGGAGGTTTTCTTGGGGAACCCCATGTCAGAAACTAAATCTTTTCCCTCCTCCTGGTTACATAATCCAGAGGAGACTCTTCCAATCTCCTGCCTGGAGGGTACTTTCCTAGATGCCAGGATTCTTGAGATAAGTAGAAGACTGAGTGTCTTGGCAATCTTTGTGTAAGCTCCCCTCTTTTCAGTAGGAAACCCAAGCCCTCAACTCTGATTAATGAAGGTTCAGTCCCTCTATTTTAATATTTTCTAGTTGTTTTTTTTTTTAAACCTCACCCAAGGATATGTTTATTGATTTTAGAGAAAGAGGAAGGCAGGGGGAGAGGGGGAGAGAGAGAGAGAGAGAGAGAGAGAGAGAAACATCGATGTAAGAGAGAAACATTGATTGCTTGCCTCCTGTACACATGCCTACCTGGGATCGAACCTCTAACCTAGGTATGTGCCCTGACTCTGGATCGAACCTGCAACCTTTTGTTGTATGGATGATGCTACAACTAACTGAGCCGCCTGGCCAGGGCTGTTCTAGTCCTTCTTACCCCACCTTCATCCCCACGTCCAGAGATAATATGTTGTTACCAACTCCTGAGCCTTTTGGGTCCCACAGTGTGAGTTATGTCTTGGCTCTGTCTTCAGATCCGGACGTTTTGGTCTGCCAAGTTAGTTCCTACTTATAGCTATGCTTCTCAAATCTTACTATTATTTTTTTCTCCCTTTCTCTTTGTTCTTGTAGGTATATAGTTCTATAAAAGTTATTTTGGTGGGGTTTGGGGTAGGAGAAAAACAAGTCTCTATTTCATTTGTATTAGGATAGCTTTCATGTGATTACCATATTTTGCCGTAAATAATGTGCACTTTTTTGCCCAAATTTTTGAGGGAAAAATAAGGATGCGCTTTATACACAGGTATAATGATTACATAACATGGATATAATAACCCCATATATTATGCACACAAAACGGCTTATGCACATTATACATGGGAATGTATTATTCACGGCAAAATATGGTATGAATCAGTGAAAGAATGTTGCTGCATTTGTTTGTTTTGCGAACTTGTAGACTTACATGGATCCAGAAAGGAAAAGCCTTTTCTTCTCTGTTGAATCTTTATAAAGGGCACACACACTTATGTAACACACAAGCGTTACAAGCATTACAAGCATTACACATGTAATGCACATGTGTACACACACAAAAACACAAATTTAAAAAAGTGTTTTATGTCAGTGACATAAAAAGATGCAGCGTTTTCCAGTCTTCAGGATGTTATACCTTTTACCTCTGTATGCATTCATCTCTTAAATCAGTTCTAGCCAATTTTAGGATGAAAGCTAAACCAAAGCTAATACGTTGAATGCAAAAAGATTTTGAAAACCCCTGATCCTTTATCCAGATTTTGAACAATGTTCTTATTGGTGCTTCTGCAATTGTTACTCCTCTCGAAGCCAAAGAGAAAGTAACTTTTCTATATTCTGTAATTTTTTAGAGTTTCAGATTTTGAAAAGAAAGCCAATGATCGTTCTGAGATTGAGACCCAGACAGAGGGGAGCACAGAAAAAGAGAAAGAAGAGGAGAAAGACACAGAAACTGTGGGTACTAAGATTGTAAGACGGCTCTCACACCCACAAGGATGTAAGAGTTGTATAGAACCTGGAGTCGAATCTTGTGATGTATTATTAGCTTAGAAAAATAGAAATAATTTTAATGTTGAATATTCTCTTTTTCTCTCATAGTTCCTTGTCCTGATTTGAATTTCCTTCACTGTAAATTGCAGTGAGATATATTCTTATCCTAGTGATCTTAGGAAATCACTCTTCTACCTCTTCTTGACTGATTTTCTCTCCTAAATTCTTAAGTGAACAGGCCTGCTAAATGAGAAAGGAATGTTGTCTATTTTAATATGAGGTCATTTCAGGATGTGGCTCAGAAACTTGAGTAGAAGAGAAAGGTCTTGGTTCTATCCCAGTACTGGTCTGAATAAAATGGTTTATGAGAAAGGTTCATGCTTATATAGTCGCTGTTTCATGGCAACTCATTGAGTGTCTTGGAGTGCGCAAACAGTCTTAAACCTAGGGAAAGCTGATGAAGCCAGGAAGTTGTAAGAGCCACAGTAGCCTGTGTAAAAGGCATTTACATAAGATACTTACTTTAGCTAATTCATTTATTTAACAAATATATATTGAATGCCTACTGTATGCCATGCTCTGGACTAAAACCCCTGCTTTCTAGAGAATAGAAAACATTTAAAAACTGAGATGAAGAGACAACCTGTGAGTAATAGTACCCAGTTGACTAAAACTATTTCAACAACCAATAATAGAGAAAGAAGTACTGAGATTTCTAAGGCACCATAAAACTGACAAAAATTCTAGAGCTGCCAGGAGAAAAGTGGTACAGCAAAAATAGTTGAGTAAACTAGAAACAAAAATCAGCCAGGAATATGGCTTTGAGTTGCTAACTGGATAAATTAGACTGTACTTTGACACTGCTGTGATCTGTGATCGCTTGAACCATGATCAAGATTAATTTTAATTATGATAAAATTATTATCACAAGTGCATCCCAGTTGATCCATTAATGTTCTGTGAGGAAACAGAGTTTTAACCAAAACATTTTTTTCATACAAGATATTTGGGGCATTCATTGTCAAAGGTTTAATAAATTCACCAGTCTTAACTGGAATGATGCCTCACAAATAGGTGCATTTAATCTTGGATGTGAATCACATAGGTGTGTTTGGGATTTTCTGTATGACAGGTTGGAAGTGAAGTGGAAGCCTTGAACCTTCAGGTGACAACCTTGTTTAAGGAGCTTCAGGAGGCTCATACGAAACTCAGTGAAGCTGAACTAATGAAGAAGAGACTTCAAGAAAAGTAAGAATGAGAGATGAATTTTATCTTCCCTAAAAAGGTGTACATTTTTATAAGATATGTAACTATATAAAAAAACATAGTTTTGTTATTGTGTTACTGACTGAAAGAAACATAGAGACCTAATTAAAATATGAATTCAGAAAACACTAATGTTGTTCAGGTTAATGTACAGGTTAATATATAGACATGAAGTACTTGTAGTTACGTGGGGGGTAGGGCCCTAGGGACTCTGATTCTGCTGTTTGGGGACATTAGCTAAGTACACTAGTCTATATGAGGACCTGTAAAAAGCAGTGAGCTGGATTTCCTGTGACTTACATGAGCTGACAACATTAATGTGAACAAATGTAAAAGAAAGCTGCAAAGAACAAGGAAGAACTTGAGTAAGATTTATTTAGAAAAAAATTCATTTTCAGTCAATTATAAAGGCTAATATATAAGTTGAGAACTTTGCATTTGCTAGTTTCTCTTGATGTAAGACGTTACCCCGAAATTTAGGAAAGCTAAGTTGATGTTGTTCTTTTGGTTTAGTTGGTAATATACAAGTGTATGTTTCCTTGGAGTTATATTCTCCAAGGCTGGTACAGCATGGCAGTAACAGCTAAGGATTTTGGACAAGCAGACCGAGGTTGAAATATGGATCTACAACTTATTTGTAGTAATAACCTTGGGAAAGTTACCTATTTCACCTCTCTAGCCTCAGTTTTATTATTTGTAAAATGTGTGTCGTAATTCCTATGTCGTAAGATTTTAAGTGAGATGATGTTTAACATGCTTGGCATTGATGCCTTGCACATAACTATCATTGGTTCATATTTGCTATTATGTTAAAATTCTTTTTCTGATCTTTAAGAGGCTTTAGGCCACTTCCTTTTCCCCTGTTGAATCTTTGTCAGAAGTCATAGTCTCTGTGCTTAAAAGAACCCATTACTTTTTAAAATACAAAAGATATACATGGAGCACTATGTGAGAGGTACCTTTATCCAATCACTACTTTGGTCTGTGACTAAATAACAAAAATATATTTGTATGACTACTTAAAACAATTATTCCAAGTGGGCAATAGCTTGTGTGATATTACATCTGTGCTTTTTTATGTTAGGCATAAGTTCAGGAATATGTAAATTATTTTTAACAGAAAAAGATCTGTATTTTTTAAAAATAATTTTTATTAAATTTACTGAGGTGGCATTGGTTAATAAGATCATATAGGCTCTAACTGTACATTTCTATGATACTAGGTCTGTATATTGCACTGGGTGCCCACCACCTAAAGTCAAAACCATCTCTGTCACCATATATTAGGTCCCCTCCACCCCCCCCCCCCCACTGCCTGTCCTCTGACAACCACCTTACTGTCTGTGGCCATGGCTTTCAATTTTATATCTCAAATATAAGTGAAATCATGGTTCTTAGATTTTTTTGACTGACTGACTGCACTTAGCATAATATTCTCAAGGTGGTTCAGCAATACTACTTGCTTCTAGTAAAAGAGCAAGGAGGATAAAATATTTTTATTTTGTACTGCTAAACCCTTGAAAAATGCTATCCTAAAATTCTTTGTGTTTGGTACATAATCTTGGGGTTTGTTTAAAAACCACTGAAAAATGAAGGAGCATTGTTTATCCTCCTCTTTTGATCTTTCTTAGATGTCAGGCCCTTGAAAGGAAAAATTCTGCAACCCCATCAGAGCTTAATGAAAAGCAAGAGCTTGTTTACAATAACAAAAAGTTAGAGCTACAACTAGAAAGCATGCGATCAGAAATCAAAATGGAGCAAGCAAAAAGAGAAGATGAAAAGTGAGTATGAGGTGACTAAATGGCTACTTGCTAAAAGAAGAATAGCTCTTTTATACAGATTAGCATTAGGGTTTGAGAACGCATTTAAAATTTTTCTCATTTATTTTAAGGAGTACTAGGAGATTTTTCTGAGGAGATAAAATTTAGGTTTAATTATAACAAAATTATGAAAATTACTAGTAATCTTATTTTTACTTTTCGGGAAAAATTGTTTTGTTTCAGAATAAGGAAATGCCTGTAGGTGGTGGGATGGTAAAGTCAGGAGAAAAGATTTTGCTACTGGTGTGTTGTGAAGAATGTTGGGAGGCAAGACTTAGAGTTTCTATGATATTTTCCCCAAGATTCCATTCTCAGTTCCTTTTTTAAACAGGTCCAAATTCACCATGCTACAGATGACACACAACAAGCTGCTCCAAGAATACAGTAATGCATTGAAAACAGTTGAAGAACTAAAACAGAAAGAGGTACTCAGAAAAAAATTACTTTGATAGCCTAGTAAGGGACAGAAATTATTGAACATTTTATATGGAAGTAGTTGTGTTAATCTTTAACAAAGTTTGGTTTCAAAGGTTGTTTACAGTTTATAATTCTTGTGTTTCACTGCTTATAACTTCAGATGTTCCACATATGTACAGGAATACCTCAGAGATATTGTAGGTTCATCTAGATCACTGCAATAAAGCAAGTCACCTGAATTTTTTGGTTTCCAAGGGTATATAAGTTATGTTTACACTATATTGTAGTTTATTAAGTGTGCAATAGCATTATGTCTAAAAAATGTACGTACCTTAATTTACAAAATAGTTTATTGCTGGACTTCTAGCCAAGATGGAGGCATAGGAAGATACACTTTGCTTCCTCGCATAACAAAAACAAAGACACTAACAATTTACAAACAAAAAACAACCAGAAGTGCCAGAAAATCGAACTGTATGGAAGTCTGACAACCAAGGAATTAAAGAAGAAACACTCATTCTGACTGACAGTAGGGGAGGAGACAGGCAGCCGGGGTGGAGAGGATGCGTGGCAAGGTGGTGGCTGGAGGACCTGGCAGGTGAAGTGGCTGCTGTCGGGCCCACATTTGCATGCTGATAAACCTGAAGGAACAACTGGGGAGCGAGACAGACCTCGCAACCCAGGGCTCCAGCATGTGAAAAGAAAGCCTCAAAACCTCTGTCTGTAAAAACTGTGGGGTTTGTGGCGACGGGATAAACTCCCAAGCTCACAGGAGAGTTCCTTGGACAGACCCACAGGGTCCTACAACGTACACAAACCTATCCACCCAGGAATCAGCAGCAGAAGGGCCCAATTTTCCTGTGGGTAGTGGGGAAAGTGACAAAGTCAGCCAAGAGCCAAGGAAACTGTATTGTTCCTTCTCTGACCCCTCCCCCACATACAACACCATAGCACAGCCACATGGGTTGCCCTGCCCTGGTGAATACCTAAGGCTCTGCCCCTTCCAGCATAACAGGAGTACCAAGACAAAGAAATATGGCACAAATGAAAGAACAGATCAAAGCTCCAAAAATGGAACTAAGCAATGAACAGATAGCCAACCTATGAGATGCACAGTTCAGGACACTGGTAATCTGGATGTTCACAGAAATAGTTGAGTATGGTCACAAAATAGAGGAAAAAGTGAAGGCTATGGAAAGTGAAATAAAGAAAAATACACAGGGAACCAAGAGTAAAGGGAAGGAAACCAGGACTCAAATCAATGATTTGGAGCAGAAGGAAGAGATAAACATTCAACCAGGACAGAATGAAGAAACAAGAATTCAAACAAATGACAAGAGGGTTAGGAACCTCTGGGACAACTTTAAACCATCCAACAACTGAATCATAGGGGTGCCAGAAGGATAAGAGGAAGGGCAAGACATTGATTTCTTATTTGAAAAAATAATGGAGAACTTTCCCAATCTGGCCAAGGAAATAGACTTTCAGGAGACCCAGGAAGCTCAGAGAGTCCCAAAGAAGTTGGACCCAAGGAAGCACACACCAAGGCATATCGTAATTACATTACCCAAGATTAAAGACAAGGAGAGAATCTTAAAAGCAGCAAGAGAAAAGGAGACAGTTACCTACAAAGGAGTTCCCATCAGACTATCAGCTGATTTCTCAAAAGAAACCTGGCAGGCAAGAAGGGGCTGGCAAGAAGTATTCAAAGTCATGAAAGGCAAGGACCTATATCCAAGATTACTCTCTCCAGCAAAGCTATCATTTAGAATGGAAGGGCAGATAAAGTGCTTCCCAGATAAGGTCAAGTTAAAGGAGTTCATCACCACCCAGTCCTTATCTAAGGGACTTATTTAAGAGAAAAAAGAAGGGACTTACCTAAGAAAAAGAAGATCAAGATATGAACAGTAAAATGACAACAAACTCAACTATCGTCAACTGAACCTAAAAAAAAAAAAAAAAAAAAAAAAAAAGCAGGATCCATCAAAATGTACTCTATGACATCAAGATGGCAGAGGAGTAAATGGGAGTCACACTGACCTCCTCCCAGGACCAACCTGGAATTACAACTAAATTGTGGAGAAATTACCTGGAACAAACAACTGAACAATAGCCAGAGAGAAGCCTTATAACCTCGGAGACAGAAAAATGCAGCTTCAGCACAACCGAACTGGTAAGGAGTGTGGTGGAGACTTGAGAAGGCTTTCTGGGCACCCGCGCGTGGCAACACCAGAAGGATATTAAAACAGCCAGTTAGATCCCCCTGAGAGGAGTGGGGTCTAAACCATAAGCGGGGATCTCCAGCCTACAGCACCAGAGCCCAAAAAGTACACAGAAAACACGAATGCTGGTTTGGGGGTGGTGGTATGGGGCAGAGAGGAATAAAGAGGAGGAAAAAAAAATGGGACAACTGTAATAGCACAGCCAATAAAATATGCTTTAAAATAAATAAAGAATATACTAAAAATTTAAAAATAGCTTATTGTTAAAAAATGCTAACCATCGTCTGAGTCTTTAGCAAGTTGTAATCTCCTTGCTGGTGGAGGGTTTGCAAAGCACTCTAAAAGCAAAGTGCAATAAAATGAGGTATGTCTGTATAATGTGCTTTGTGTACAAAGGTGGGGCTAATGTCCTACAGTCAGGGAGTAAACTTTTAGCATTTCTCACAGTGGGTGGGTTTGTAGGAGAGCTGGGAGCATGGGCTCCTCTGTGAGTAGTGCAAAGTGAGAATGATGGCTGCGGCTGGAACAGTAAGTCTACTGCAGGGAACTCTCACCAGCTTGTCTGCTGTCAGTGAGCTTGAGAGCCTGGACTTACCCAGCTGCAGCTTAAGTTAGTAATAATGCCCAGCATGGTATGATGATTTTTAACACCATGGAAATTTATGTGAGGTGACGAATGCGTTAATTAACCTGATAGGAGGAATCCTTTCACAATGTATACATGTATCAAATCATCACGTATATCTTACCATTTTAATTATCAATTTTACCTAAGAAAGCTGGAATAAATAAAGATGATGGAAGCTTTAAATTAGAAGGGATCTTTGAGTTTATATCCTTATAAATATACTTTGTTTTTTATTCATTTTTTAGTAAATTATTTTTAATTTAAACATTTTTCTTCTTTTCCACTGACTTCACAAAGAGTAACATGAATGAAAAAGTAGTATATTAGCAAGTTACAACCTCACTGATATCAGATGAGTTAGTTATAATTTTCCTTTTTTTAGTGTTTTCTAATTACTGCTTTGTTAGAAAATTATTATTTCAAGCCGTAAGTTAAATGAATACAACTTTCCAAGTATTGTTGCTAATTAACAAAACAGCTTAGAATCAATCATTAAATAAAAAATTTTATCTAATATTTTACTAAAATAGATTGAATTATTTGAAAACCATTTCTAAAATAAACTTGTCTTTTTCAGTCAGAAAAAGTGGATAAGGTGGTGGTGCAGGAACTAAGTGAAAAACTGGAACTGGCAGAGAAGGCCCTGGCTTCCAAGCAGCTTCAAATGGATGAGATGAAGCAGACCATCGCCAAGCAGGAGGAGGACCTGGAAACCATGACAGTTCTTCGGGCGCAGGTATTTTCTGAAGCATGAGCTGAGTGAAGCCAGCCCTACCTTACATTCTCAAATGGCAAAGTGATGGTGTTTAAAATATGTTTTTTGATTTTATATTATTGCCATCAATATGTTTTTTAAAACTTTTTAATTGAAGTATATCACAAGTGGGAAGTGCACCAAACTTTTAAATGTATAAACTCAGTGAAATTACTGTTCCACATCTGATAGGTGGTCAGATTATTTCCAGTTTGCAGCATTATGATTAGTGTTACTGTGACAGTTTTGTGCATGTCTCTTTGTTCACCTGTGCATTCATTTTTGTTGGGTGCACATCTAGGAGTGGAATCTCCTAAAGGTTCATAAAGTAGGCATCTACTGAGTGTTCGCAGATAATGTCAAACAGTTTTCCACCTTGGTTGTACCAGTTTTTGCTCCCATCAGCAGAGCATTCCCACTGCATTACCAGTATTGATACTTGCATTATCAGTAGCTTTACTTTTAAGCATTCTGGTAGGTATATAATGATGTCTCATTGAATTTTCATTTCCTTGATGGCTAATAAGATCGAGTACTTTTTCAAATATTTACTGGCCATCTAGGTATCCCCTTTTGTGACACGCCCAATCAGGTCTTTGCCCATTTTTCTTCTGTTTTGCTGGCTTTTCCTTAATTTCTATAGTTCTTTATATTTGTTACAGATTTTTTTCACTGTGTGATTTGCTTTTTCACTGTCATAATGGAGTCTTTTGATGAACAAAAGTTAATTTGTTATTATAGTCCAATTTATGTTTTTTCATTTATGATTAGTATTTTTTGTGGGCTGTTTAAAAAACTTTCACTGCCTCAAAGGCATAAAGGTACTCCCCTACTTTATCTTCCAAAAGTTTTATTGTTTTGCCTTTTACATTAAGATCTAGAAACCACCTGGAATTAGCTTTTCCATAGGGAGATAAGGGTGAAGATTACTATTTTTTGCTTATGAATATTCTGTTGACTTGGCACCATTTATTAAAAAGGGCATCTTTTCTTAATTACTCTGCTTCCCTCTTTGTCATGTACCCATGGGTCTATTTCTGGACTCTATACTCTTCCACTGGGCTATTTATATATCCTTGCTCTGGTACCATACTATCTGGACTTACTATAAAGCACCAAAGTTTTGAATTCTGGTAAAGTAAGTCTCCCTACCTCATTGGTATTCTTTAAAGGGACTTTAGGTTTTCCTTCTCTTTTTCATTTTCATATAAATTTAAAAACCTATGCCCTGGCTGGTGCGGCTCAGTGGATTGAGCACCAGCTGGTGAACCAAAGGGAAGCCAATTTGATTCCCAGTCAGGGCACATGCCTGGGTTGTGGGCTAGGTCCCCAGTTGGGGACACACGAGAGGCAACCACACATTGATGTTTCTCTCCCTCCCTTTCTCCCTCCCCCCACCTCTGTCTAAAAATAAATAAATAAAATCTTTAAAAAAAATTTTTTTAAACTTTAAAAACCACTTGATATTTTCCACATACAGAAAAGCTTACTGGGATTTTGATTGGAATTACATTAAATATATATCAATCAATTTGGAGATAATTGACATCTTTACAACACTGACTCTTCCAATCCATGAATATGGCATGTCTTCTTTAATTATACTCAGTAATATTTTTAATCTTCTTAGTAGAGGTTTTGTTCTTTTATTAGATAATTCCTAGATATTTTATATTTTAATGATACTATTATAAATAGCATGTTTTTAAAAATTTCATTTTGTAAGGGTTGCTGTTATATGGAAATATTCAATGCAATTGATTTTCACATATTGATTTTGTATGCAGTAAACTTGTTCAACTCAATGTTAATTCTAATTTTTCTGATTTTTTTTGGACTTTGTACATTAATTTTATTATTTGAATAATGGCAGGTTGTTTTTCTTTCCCCTTTCCAGTCTTTTTACTTTTTTTTCTTTCTTGCCTTAATGTTATGTAACTGTAGAGATTGCAGATAGTCTTACCTTGCTCCCAGTCCCAGAGGCTGTGCTTTCAACATTTCACTATTAAGTGTGTGATGTTTGCTATAGGCTTTTTGTAGATATCACTTATCAGACATAGAAAATTTCCTTCTATCCTTGTTTGTCAAAAATTTTTATTTTGAGTGAATGTTGAATTTTATTTAAGAAAAATTATTTTCTTTATATAATGATATGATTAGGTAATTATATGCTTTTCTCTCCTTAATCTATTATGTGGTAATTTACATTGATTTCTTAAATATTAAACAAACCGCATTTTTTATATTATCCTCTATATATATTGCCAAATTTGGTTTGCTCATATTTTGCTTAGGATTTTTGTATATATATATTCTTAAGTAAGATTGGCCTAGAGTTTTCCTTTTGCTAATATACTTGCCAGGTTTTGATATTGGGGTTATGCTGGCTTCATAAAACGAAGTTAAGATACATTTCTTCATTTATTGTTCCCTGGAACAATTTGGATACAATTAGCTTATCATGACTGTTTTGGCCTACTGTGGTTTCTGATGGGTGGAGTACTTAGAGAAGAGTTGATGAGTGAGAATACATTCTGCCTGAGATTTAAAAAATCACAAAAAGAGGGGGAAAATCCTTTTTTTTCTAAATAACTAGAGATCTCAGTAATTTGGCTTTAGAATAATTAGGTACTAAAATATTTTTATTTTTGAATTACATAAATAATACTACTCATTACAAAATAGAATTTTTACACTATAGAGAAATGTATAAAGTAGAGAGTGGAAACCCAACTTCCCCCAGTTCCATTTTGGTAAGTGTGTAAGTTTCTTCTGTTTTTATTTTCCTTATTTGTTTCCTTAATTAAAAATGGGATCACACTACACCTTCAGTACTACAACATTTTTATTCATGATATATCTTGGACATATCTCCTTTTTATTACTGACAGTCATGTTATTTTTTTTAAATGGCTGAGTAGTGTTACAAAGTGTGTATAACCATGATAGATTTAACCAGTCCTCTACTGATATACATGTACGTTGTACCAATATTTTTGCTATTATCAACAATGCTGAATGGAACATTCTTGTATGTCTTTGTGCACTTGTGGAATCTGTAGTAATATATAAGTGGAATGGTTGGGTTCATTGGGTATGCCTGTTTTTAAGTTAAATAAGTATTACCAAGTTATTTTCCAAAAATGGGCAATCAGAATTATTCTCACCAGAAGTAGATGAGTGATCCTATTTCCCCACATCCTTGCATCATTCTTTAAAATGTTTCCCAACCTGATAAACATTATTTTTAATATAACAATGTTAACAGTTTATTATTCCCTATATACGCATCACCACCTGTCCAGAGTGGCTGACCCAGTGAAATATGGAAGTGGTTGAATGGAGTTAAGGCTTTAATGTTGTTGCTACAGGAACAGAATCTCAACCTGAGCTCTTTATAGTGTTTCCTTTTATTTGGGCACCTCATGATACTGTCGTCATGTACTTCTGACACATTCTGTACGCAGACTTTTATTTTGTTTTGATAAATTTTCTTGTTCATTCAACAAGTCTTTTTCTGAGCACCTATAATATGTCAGGCACTGTTCTCACTGTTGGGGATATAGGAATAGACAAAACAAAGATCTAGTTCTTACTGGCTCAAAACCTAAATTCAAGGCTCTACCCTGAATTTAGGTCTGACTCAAAAAAAGCCCATGATCCATCAAAGATACCATAACATTTTGGAATACTTGCAAATGGCAGGACCTCCCTCACAAAGATCTCTTTATTATATGCTTTCTTTTTGTAACTATAATTCTGGTAGAATATTTAAAATTTTATTAATCTTACTTTAAAAGTACTGGATTAAAATTTATATCCTAGAACCCCTAAATTTGAAAAGAAAAAACCTAATTTTAAATGTAGCAAATTAAGAACATATTAAAATAATACTCAATTCACTAGTCCATGTTTACTTTATAATTTTAAAACTGAAGAAATTGCTATCATGGCATAATATTTATCTATTTCGAGGTAACAAATTACCCTCCAAACTTAGCAGCTAAAACAACAAGCTCTTGTTATCTCACACACTTTCTATGGGCCAGGAATCTAGGAGCAGCTCAGCAGGGTGATTCTGGCTCAGGGTTTCTTATAAGGCCACACTGAAGAAGAAAGATCCATTTCCAAGATGGTTTGCTCACATGTCTGTGGGTAGGAGGCCTCAGTTCCTCACCATGTGGGCCTCTCTATGTGCTTGCTTCAGTACCTCGCGACATGGCAGCTAGCTCCCCCTCAGCGCAAGTGATCCAGGAGAAAACAAGTCAGAAGCCATTGTGTCTGTTATGACCTAGTCTCAGAAGCCATGCACCATCATTTCTACAGTATCCTAGTGGTTACAGAGGTTCACCCTATTCATTGTGGGAGGGGAACACATGAGGTTTTGAATACCAAGAGGTGAGGATCACAGGCGCCATCTTGGAGGCTGGCTACCACTATGGGAAGTGATGTGGTATATGGAAGAGTCCACGATACATGGGCTTCAATCTGGGTTCCAAGGCTGGTTTGACCTTTTAACTCATTTCTCCAAGATTAGGAGCTATTACACTTGTAATGTGAAATGAGCACAGCAATTCTACATTCCCAGGATTTTTGATAAGGTGAAATAAGAGAGTCAACATAGGACTTCACACATGTTTAGAATTTAATTGCATCTATTTATTATTATTTTAACTTAAGGCCAGCCTTCATAAATATACCTGACAGAGTAAATAAACCATCTACTATATTAGACTAATCCTGAATATTATTTTTAAAAAAGATAGAGAATTTTACTGAATCGATGGTATATACAGTATTTAAACCACTTGTGTCAGTTTAATTGCTGCATTCTAATTGTTTAAAGAGCACACACATACACAATTTGGGTCTTCTACTTGAAAGTAGTTGGAAAGTCATGGTCACCATACTGGTTTCTAGCAGGCACATGTACCTGTTATTTGGAACGCATATCACAGGCAACTGCCTCTTCACCTCAACAGGTGAGCTGCAGAGCATCTACATCACCTAGGTAGTAACTGCTTTCTCTTTCTTCCTGTAACAGATGGAGGTTTACTGTTCAGACTTTCATGCTGAAAGAGCAGCAAGAGAAAAGATCCACGAGGAAAAAGAGCAACTTGCATTGCAGCTGGCAATTTTGCTGAAGGACAATAATGTTTTTGAAGATGGAGGCAGGTAAGGTGAGGGGGAAGACTTAGAAACACTTTTCATCGTGGGACTTGTCAAAGATGGTTCCTAATTTGAGCTCTAAGAATCGCTGGGTATACATCTCTTCATTGGGTTCATATGCTTAGTTTGACCTCAGAGGTGTGTCAGTGTTTTGTGGAAACCTGATCAAAACTTTGCCTTTAAATTATCTGTAAAAACATGACATTTGAGTTTCAAAGTCATATCTTGCTATTGTCATGAATGAAACATTTCTAACATTTTTTTTAAAAGATTTTATTTTTCTATTTTTAGAGAGAGGAAGGGAGGGAGAAAGAGAGGAGAGAAACTTCAATGTGTGAGAACTTCATTAGTCGGTTACCTCTCGCACGCCCCCAACTGGGGACCTGGCCTGTACCTGGGCATGTGCCCTGACTAGGAAATGAACTGGGGACCTTTCAGTTCGCAGGCTGGCACTTAATCCACTTGAGCCACACCAAACAGGGCATAGTCCTAACTTTTTAAATAATTCTATAATATTTTATATCTTAAAAGCAAATACCGCTAAAATTACTTCTGTCCTTTAAATTTTCATCTTGAGAAAAATTTGAAAGATACAGAAATAGAAAAATACAGAGGTTAAAATATACACCAATATGTACCCCATTAGAATTGACAGCCACTAACGTTTCTTTTATTGATATTTGCTTAGAGTATGTTTTTATTAAAACAAAAAAGTAGCCCTGGCTGGTGTGGCTTGATGGATTGAGGGCTGGCCTGTGAACTGAAAGGTTGCCAGTTCAATTCCCAGTCAGGGCACATGCCTGGGTTGCGGGCCTGGTCCCAAGTTGAGGAGGTGCAAGTGGCAACTGATTGATATTTCTGTCACGCATGCATCAATGTTTCTCTCCCTCCCTCTAAAAATAAATAAAGCAAAATAAATAAATGTATAAAAATCTTAAAAAAAAAATAAAAAGGAGCTGTAAATGAAGTTGAAGTCTTTTTTGTTCCACATCCTTCATTAGATTCCTCTCTTCCCTTCCCCATACTGCCTGGAATTTGGTGGGAAGCATTCCTATCTGTTTTATACTTTTATGTAATATCTGTTTTTAAGCTACAAAATGATCACTATAAATATTGGTTTGCAACTTGCTTTACATAACTTCTTACATGTGATTTTTACAGAACACTTTACATGTGATTTTTGAACTGTGTGTATGTATGTGCAGAGTGTCTCTTTGGAAATATGCTACTTTTTTCCTAATCCATTCACCTATGAATTAACAGTTTAGTTATTTCATAACTGATTTTTTAAAATGTCTTAACTGTTACTTTTACTACATTGTGTCCTAGTAACAATAATATTTACAACTCAATTTAGTCTTAAGTTCTGGTTTCTATGCACCTTGGCATTGTAGTTCAACTCTTTCTCCCCCCCCCCCCATATTCTGCTGTATGTGTGCTTAATGTTGTCACATTTCAGGGCTTTAGAACATCACATACATAGAGTGTTGCCTTTAATTCCAGTAGGCAGTCATTGATGGAAATGCAGAGCCGTCATGGGGCCAGAACCAGTGACCAGGACCAGCAAGAATACCTTGTTCAAAGAGGTGAGTCACATGTGATTCTAGACTTTCAGAATTGCAGGGAATAACTATACTTGATGAAGTTGCTTGAAAAAAAAAAAAGAATGCCACTACATCCTATATAACAGATTTCAAATCAAGGCACCAAAAATGTGGTACCCATCAGTCTTATTTCCACAGTACCCCAATCTCCATCCATTACCTGCTGAATCCAGACCAGACTCTTCATGTTGACAGTTAAGGCCTGGCATAGCAAACTTTTCATCCTTCTCTTATTCTATTTCCTTACAGCAATTAGCCAACTGATTCACTCCTTGTTCTTTGAACTTGCTTGCCCTAAGCTTTTATATCCACCATATACTTGTTTATAGGGTGTCCTTCATGTAGATGCCCTTCCTTTACTCATATCCTTGTCTTCCTACATTCTCTTTCCAGGGAACTCTTATCCCATCTTTAGAACTCATTTCAAATACCATCTCTATGACCTCTCCCTTCTGAATTTCCAAAGTACTTTATTCCTGTTTTAGCACTTACCTGCTATTTATTATAATTATTTATATGTTCTAAATATACATTTAAGTCTTTTTTAAATAATCTCCCTCAGAGCTTATATTTTCACCTACTACCTGGTGTTACACACATAAATAATGTTACCATTTACTGAGAGTTTACTATGCATGTAAACTGCAGCTGTGCTGATGAATTCAGTCATACACATTATTTCATGCAATCCTCACAAAATTCTACCAGATACCTATCGTCACTATCTTACAGAAGACAAGGTTAAATTACTCAGGATCATAATAGCAATTAGGGGCAGAACTGGACATAGAACCCAAGGCTATCTGACCCTTAACCACCACACAATACTTCATGGCATAGACTGTCATTTAATTATGTATCACATCCAGATTTTAATTTCCTGAGTGAAATTGATCATGACACTTATAATATGGTTTTAATATAGTAGTAATGTTCTCTAACTTGTAATAAATCACTGTCTCAATAGTACTGATAGGGAAGTATCATCCTTGAGTCTATTATAGATATAAAAAAAACCAAACAAAAACCTCAAAGGACCAAAGACTGACATGGCAAGAAGAAAAGTTAGTAACAATGCCAGTTAGAAGATTCTGGATTTAGGATGCCATCCTAACTTTCACATAAAACTGGTTCTTTAATACATATATTTTTAGTGCTAGACCAGTCTAAGTCCCTTCCACATACCAACTGACTACTGAAATGGAACTATATCACAATGTTATCAGCAGCAAGGAAGTAAATATTAGTATATATAGTTCTCTATTAAATCTTGGGGACATTTCTTTGAGTATCCCTTTTACCTTCCATCTCCTCCTGTTCTCCCCCCCCACCACCAAAGTTCTTCTACAGAAAAAAATAGGCTAAAGTCAGTATTAGAGGTAGTAATTCTGGGTACAAGTAAACATAGTATTCATGGGACACATGCAGAGGTACCAGCATGTGAACTGACATAAATAATACCTTCCTGCATTTTTTAGCATCAGTGGTTAAAGCTATGTTCTTCTCTGAAAGCTACATCTACCCACTTAAGCACTGCTATGCATGTTCTCTAACCTAATTTTAAATATCCTAGGAACACCTATATACTTCCTATCTAGAAGTACCTACACAGTTGTCTTGAGTCAAAAAGGGCAATCTCTTGCACCTGGATTTCTTAAGGGAAGATTTCCATTCATCATTAACTATAAGACAAATGCTTACTTATATTAAAAAGAAAAGGAATTGGTCACTCTTTGACTTAAAACCTAAAAATCATCACAAAGTGCAAATTTATTCCTGAACGTTTTTTCTTATAAAAAAAATATTCCAGAAACTGTCTTAAATTTTTTTTTTTTAGTTTCCTAACAAAGCTGCCTTAAAGAAAAGCCCCTCTGAGTATTTTATGGTCATCAGCAGCCATCTGAGTGTCTAATCTGGTCTAGGGCATCGAGCTAAGCACAAGGAAACAAATGGGCACAAGTCGTGGCCAGATCCGTGAGGGCTTATGGTGTAGTTGGAGATACAGGATATGTATGTACAAAGATGAATTGATAATACAAGGTAATACTTAATAGAAATACTACTACTAAAAGTAGGAGAAAGGATGATCATCAAGGGCCAGGTAGTTGAGACAGGCTTTGAAAACATGTGATTTTAAGCTTGACATTGATGCTAGAATTTAGATAGGTACGGTATGAGAATGAAAGGGCAAAGGCAGAAGTGAATGTAATGTGTTAATAATGAAAACTGACTAAGCTTATTTTATAGTGAAGATCCAGGAGGTAGAGGGAACTCCTCATCACAACTCTGAGTTTTAACCTAGACCAGGACAAGAATAAAGGTACAGATTGATTCGATGAAATTTAGAATGAAAAACCAGCAGTCCCTGATGGTTGGTTGTCATCTACAGGAGGGTTTGGCAAACTGTAGCTCGCAGGTCAAATCTGCCCTGTTTTTATAAATAAAGTTTTATTGGAACAGAGTTGTGCCCTTTTGTTGACATATTGTATATAGCTACTTTCATGCAATAGTGGCAGAGTTGAATAGTTATGAGTAGGCTTTGCAAAGCCTAAAATGTAGGGTGGGACAAAAGTAGGTCTACAGTTGTGAGTACAAGAAACACAGAGTTTATTCTTGTATTAATTATTGCCTTATTTTCCATATGAACAACTGTAAACCTACTTTTGCCCACCCTGTATTTACTCTCTGGCCCTTTAAAGAAAGCTTACTGACACCTGATGTAGAACAATGAGGCCTTTAGAAAGCTCCCTGTTTCAGAAATCATACCTTGTGATAAATTCTTCTATTCTACGGTACTTCTAAAGTTTGCTGAATACAAACTATCTGTAATAGTTTCACATGTTACTTAATTCAAGTAATATGCTCAGAAGCAAATAACTATGTTAAAGGTTACTTCCACTGTCATCCTTCAAAAAGAACAAACATTGGGGTAGGGGGTTGAAGGAACGTTTGGAAACCTGGGTAGAGACTACAAAACCAAAATGGTTTGCATTTGTCCAGAAAGGTCAGATCAAGGAGATGTTCCAGGAGCCAGAAGTCATTTCCAGTACTGAACACAGTTTGTACACATGGGACCTACCAGTCAAGGCTTATTTTGAGCATTCTTTGACTGAGACTTCACTCTCAGCCCAACTCCAAAATTGGGTGCAATGACAGAACTCACTCTTCCAATTCTTTCTCCTCTACTTTGCCTGGATAATCCTTATTCATTCTTAAGCCTCCTCTCAAGTGGAATCAGTCTCATCCAGGGAGCCTATCTTCACAGAGCAGTCTGAGCCAGGTGCCTTTCTCTGTCCTTCCACTAAACCACTTTGTGCATGACACAGCCATGGCACTTCCCTCACGTGCCACACTGTCATTTTTCTTGTCTGACACCCCCATCATATCTGTATTCCTCTTTTCCTTCTTACAGGGTACTGACAAGTATCTGCTGATTGAATGTAATGTTTGTCTCTGCTTCTGAGAAGGTACATACTCTTCTAGGATACTACCTCTCCATGCTCTGCTCGTCATTGTCTTCCATGTTCTCTCCTCTAGCTTATACCCTCATCTATCTCTTCTCTCAGATATTCCAGTTTTTACAAGAACATGTATTATCTTGTACCTAGAATTAAAACCATGTATTTTCATGTACTAAGAACCTGGAATAGAGCCTAAATCCTAAAATAATTGGGAAGTGGGTATTACCTTTGGAGATTTTGTGTGTGTGTAGATTACTTCAGTAAAAGACAAAAATGACCTGGATTCACTTCCCACTAGGTATTGATTACAATGTTTAACTGATGTTAAGATAAAATACATCAAAGAAGACTGCTTGTAATATGGAAGAAATAGAACAGCATTTCATTTAATGTTTATTCCCAGGAGCTGATGATAGTAACTGGCGGCAACAGCAACAGCAGAATATGCCAATTCATTCTTGCCCCAAATGTGGAGAAGTTCTGCCCGACATAGATACATTACAGATTCATGTCATGGACTGCATCATTTGAGTGTTGACATTTCGCCTCCCGCGACCTGTTGTTAAATGTCAGATTTCTTTCCTCCCAGAGTTTTACTTTTGTGTTATTTGTTTTTACTCAAATATTTTGGCTCATTATATTTGTTTTAGGAGAAAGAAAATCAATATGTTCCATGTAGGGCATTTTTTTGTGGATTTCCATAAATTCACAAAATAGGATTCTTAACATACCATTCTTTTGATAACAGATTGATTTTTCTTTAATGTTCAGTTTATGTGAACACTGATGTGTTCATGCAGTTAATGATCATGTGACATCATGGGACACAGTAAGTGTAATTAGATGGAAGAAGTACTGCTGATAAACATTAAGAGAACCTTTTAAGAAGACAGGGAAAATGAAGTGGTCACAGAAATCTTCAAGAAAAATGTCTCTGAAATATTTTTGAAATAAATTGTATTTTATTTTTCTTCATCCATTTAAAACAAACCTATTTGGGGTTGTGTGTATATGTGTACATTGTAGTTTTATTGCAGCCACAGTAATTGTACCAAAGTTACAATATGGCTGCTTGCACATGAGCACTGTGAGCATTTACTGGATCATCAGGACAAAGAAAACAATTTTGGCATAGATGAAGTAGATACATTAGGTTTACTGGATTTGATATAACCACGGTACAAAGAAGTTATCTTTGTTCTTTTGTTGTGCTGCAGGTATATTGGCTGTACAGTAGAAAGTTCATTCATTTTTAAAAGGAACCGCTGTTTATTCATTTTCTCTTTAGATCAGGCTGTATAGTCATGATCACAAAAATAGTTACTGCAAAATAAAATTTTGCTTAAAAGACTCTCACATTGTTCATACGTTACTGGCTAATTTCACAGGATGCATTTTCTGGATTCAGCTTCATATAAGCTTATTAATTATTATTAATTCTATGAATATGAACAAATCCCTTCACTAGAGACCAATATATGTTGTTTGAATTAGAAATTGTTCTTGCTATGGAGGTGAGAAAAATAGGGATGTGCCATATTTTGTAAACCTACAGTTATTAGTAATACTAGGCCAGCCATAAAAGTAAACAATGACCTTATGCATCTAGAACCTAAAACATTTAAGAGAAAATTAAAATAATTTCCTCTGTTTGGCTCTGTCATTAGACTCTTTGCTAGACAAACTTGATTTAATACACATATAGACAAACACATGGAATCAAACAGGAAACAAAATAGTTAACTATATCTTTATACTTTGCAAATTCACCAGTAACTTAGATTAAAAAACTTTCCTGCCCTAGCTGGTGTGGCTCAGTGGATTGAATGCTGGTCTGTGAAACAAAAGGTCATCAGTTTGATTCCCAGTCAGGGAATGCCTGGGTTGTGGGCCAGCTCCCCCATTTGGGGATGTGGGAGAGGCAACTGATCCATGTTTTTCTCACACATTGATGTTTCTCTCCCTCTCTTTCTCCTCCCTTCCCTTCTCTCTAAAAATAAGTAATAATTTTTAAAAAAGATTTTCCTGCTTCAGCCCTGGGAGAATGTTTGTTAAACACATTTCTAAAATTAACTATGAAAATTTTATTTTTATTTTCTTGTTTAAGGCTTCTAGTTTAATTTTTTTCCTTACTATTTTATACTGAAGAAAACAGATTTCTATATTATCCTAAATAGAAAAGCAAACCGAATGGTTTTACATTTAAGTTTTTGAGGATATTAACTTACTTTGTTCAAGTAAAAATATTAAGCTGTTCACAACTCTGAGATACCTAGAAACTTTTTAAACACCTGGAAATTAAACAACACACTTGTAAATAATTCATGGGTTAAAGAAGAAGTTTTGAGAAATTTAAAAATATTTTAAACAAATAAAATGAAAATATAACCTACCAAATTTGGAGGATGAAGCAAAAGAAGTGCTTAACAGGAAATCTATAGTATCAAATGCATATATAGAAAAGAAGGAAGATCTAACATCAAGAATCTAAGCTTCCAATTTACGGAACTAGAAAAAAGAACAGCAAATTAAACATAAAAGAAGCAGAAGGAAATAAATAATAAATATTAGAGAAGAAATAAATTAAATTGAAACCAATCAACAGAGAAAACCAGTAAAATCAAAAGCTGGTTCTTGGAAATGATCGGTAAAATTGGTAACCCTCTAGCCAGGTTAACTGAAAATAGAAGGCACTAATATCACCAGCAGTGAAATTGGAATTTGAAATAATACAATAACATTTATGAGCACCAAAAAATGAAATACTTAGGTATAAATCTAATAAAATATGTACAAGATGTGATGAAAGAACTCAAAGGAACTAAATAAGTGGAGAGAGAGTCCACGTTCAGGTATAGGGAGGCTCTGCATTGTCTGCATCTCAGTTCTTCCCACTCTGATCTATAGATTCCACATGATCCCAATCAAAATCTCAATGAGTTATCCTGTGGATATTAACAAACTGATCCTAAAATTTATATAGAGAGACAAAAGACTCCAAATGGCCAAAACAATATTGTAGGAGAATAAAAATAGAGGACACCACCTGACTTTAAGAATTACTGTAAAGCTACAGTAATCAAGATAGCATGGTATTGGTGGAAAAATAGACAAATATACCAATGGAACAGAATAGCCCAGATAGAGACCCAGAGAGCCCACTGGTCTTTGACAAAGAAAAAGCAATTTGATGGAGAAAGTATTTTTAACAAATGATGCTGGCACAATCCATATGCAAAAACAAACAAAATGAATCAAGACACAGACCTTCCCCCTTTCACAAAAAACTAACCACATATTGGGAATAGATCTATACAAAATAGACATCTGATGAAGGACTAGTATCCAAAATATACTAAGAACTCAAGACAACAGTAAGAAAACAACCCAGTTTAAAAATGGGCAAAAGATAGGTACCTCACCAAAACAAATACATAGATGGCAAATAAGCATATAAAAAGATACTATATATCACATGCCATTAGGGAATTGCAAATTAAAATGAGATACTGCCACATACTTATTAAATGGCTAAAATCCAAAACAATAATAACAAATGCTGGCAAGGATATGGAACAAAAAGAACTCATTTATTTCTGGTGGAAATGCAAAATTGTACTATGGGAGACAGTTTGGCAGTGTCTTGCAAAACCAAGTGCAATCTTTGGCATTTACCCAAATGAATTGAAAACTTATGTCCACACAAGGCCTGCAAAAGTATTTATAATAACTGCCAAAACCTGAAAGTAGCCAAGATGTCTCTCAATAAGAAAATGGATAAACAAACTGCGGTACATCCAGGCTATGGAATATTATTCAGTATGAGTTATCAAACCATGAAAAGAGTTTGAGGAAACTTAAATGCATATTGCTAATGAAGGAAGCCAATCTGAAAAGGCTATGTACTGTATGATTCCAACTATGTGACACTCTGAGAAAGGCAAAATTATGGAGACAGTAAAAGAACTGGGAGTTGCCAGTTGTGGGTGAGCAAGAGGGATGAATAGGTAAGAGCACAAAGGATTTTTAGGGCAGTGAAACTATTCTGCATCAATGTATTCATAGAGTGAACCCTAATGTCAAGTAGGAACTTAGTTAATAATAATGTATCACTCTTGGCTCATCAATTGAAATAAATGTCCCATACTAATGCAAGATGTTAACAAGAGGGGGAATTATGTGTTGAAGGGGTTATATGAGAACACGCTGCTCTTTCCACTCTATTTTTTTTGTAATCCTCTAATTGCTCTAAAAAATAAAGTCTGTTTTTTTTTTATGAGCAAAATAGTTTTCAACTATAATGTAATATGAACACACATAAAATGCATTGTGTGCATCATAAAATCAAGATTCTTGTGAAGTTTGGCTAACACTTCCATTTGACCCATAATGAAAGGGCTAATTTGGAATTGCCTTTAATGAAATGTCAAATTTAGACTTCCAGTCAAGATGGAGGCATAAGTAAATACAGTTTGCCTACTCGCACAACCACAGCAAAAATTACAAATAGACTACGAAACTATCACCCAGAATTGTCGGAAAATCGAGCTGTACGGAAGTATGGTAACAAGGAATTAAAGAAGTCACATTCATCCAGATACGTAGGAGGGACGGAGACACTGAAACACACAGAAATGCGGAACAGGCAGTCCCACATCCATGTGTGGTAGAAAAAAATCGGGGGGGATACCTCAGGAGTGAGGGATCCCAGCTACATACCAGACCACGCAGCCCAGGATTCCAGTCCAAGGAAGAGAAGTCCCCATAACTTCTGGCTATAAAAACCAGTGGGGGTTGCAGCAGCAGAAAAAACAGTAGGATTCCCAGGAGTCTTCTCTTAAAGGGCCCTCAATGGACTGAGGACTTATGCAGATTCACTTGCCCCTGGCCTCCAGCATGGGGGCAGCAGCTGGACGGGCACGAGAGGCATACGGGGAGAAATTTAAGTGTCTAGCATTAGAGTCAGTGCCAGGGAATGGCTTCCTCCTGCACAAAACTCCAGAGGCCAGGCAGTGACACTGTCCCCTTTCTGAGCCCTCCCTAACACAGAGCCACAGAGCTGTGACACCATATCAGAGACTCCATCAACTTGGTTCACACGGGTTGTCCTGCCCAGACAATTACCTAAAGCTCTGCCCCATCCAACTTAAAGATGCACTTTTCTACAATAGGCCATGCTACTAAGGAAGCCAAAGCAGCTCTACCTAATACATAGAAACAAACACAGGGAGGCTGCTAAAATGAGGAGACAAAGGAATATGGCCCAAATGAGAAATCAAAACTGCAGAAAAAGAACTAAACAAAATGGAGATAAGCAATCTAACAGAGTCAAAGTTCAAAACACTGGTTATTAGATACTCAAGGAATTCACTGGGTACTTCAACAGCATAAAAAAGACCCAGTCAGAAATGAAGCCTACCCTAAGTGAAATAAATAAAAATTTACAGGGGACCAACAGTGTAGTGAATAAAGCTGAGCATCAAATGTATGATTTGGAACATAAGGAAGAAGCTGAGAATCAAATCAATGATTTGGAACATAATGGAGAAAAAACATTCAATCAGAAAAGAAGAAAATAATCTAAAAAGACAAGGACAGGCTAAGGAGCCTCTGGGTCAGCTTCAAACATACCAATGTTTCAATCATAGGGGTACTGGAAGGACAAGAGAAAGAGCAAGAAATTGAAAACTTTTTGAAAAAATAATGAAAGAAAACTTCCCCAATTTGTTGAAGGAAATAGACATAAAAGTCCAGGAAGCATGGAGAGTCCCAAACAAGATGGACGCAAAGAGGACCACACAAAGATACATCATAATTAAAATGCCAAAGGTTAAAGATAAAAAGAGAATCTTAAAAGCAGCAAGAGAAAAACAGAGAGTTACACATAAAGGAGTTCACATAAGACTGTCTGCTGATTTCTCAAAAGAAATTTTGCAGGCTAAAAGGGACGTGCAAGAAGTATTCAAAGTCACAAAAAGCAAGAACTTACAACCTAGATTACTCTATCCAACAAAGCTATCATTGTGAATGAAAGGGCAGATAAAGTGCCTCCCAGACAAAGTAAAGCTAAAGTAGTTCATCATCACCAAACCATTATTAAATGAAATGTTAAAGGGACTTATTTAAGAAAAAGAAGATCAAAACTATAAACATTAAAATGGCAATATATTCAAACTATCAATAATTGAGTCTAAGCAAACAAGCTGAAACAATCATAGATATGGAGATCATTTGGAGGTTTATCAGTTGGGAGGTGAAGGGGAATAATGGGGGAAAAAGGTGCAGGGATTAACATATTGGTAGGTACAAAATAGACAGGGGGATGTTAAAAATGGTATAGGAAATGGAGTAACCAAAGAACTTATATGCGTGACCCATGGACATGAACTGAGGGCAGTGCTGGAGGGAATGGGTGGTACTGGGTAGAGGGGGGCACAGGGGTAAAATGGGGACAACTAATAGCACAATCAATAAAATATATTTAAAAATGAAATGTCAAACATATGCCATCAGAAATCAAGTATATAAACTAATATTCAAACATTTTAGTGGAACAACAAAAGGTACCCAAACTGCTTTGTTATGAAGGGCAAACAAAAAGTGGAAATAAGTTAACAGTCTTTGGCATCTTTTGACTTATATACTGTCATTTAAAAAATTATTGGGAGAACATTCCACAGTCTTAAGAAAATTTGGTCATTGCTGAGTAATTTGTTATTTTTTCTAGCTAACTAACTGCAGTGATGTGAAGTATAATACAAATGTATTGATTCAGGAACTCTCAATGAGCTGAGAGATTTATGTAGCAATTTTGTTCTTTAAATATATGGAGCCATAATCACGACTAAATATATAAAATATTTATTGTAGTTATTAACCCAGCACAAGAAGAATGTGTTGAACATTTTGATGAGTTAATTGAAACCACCAATGAGCCTTTTTTATTGGCTTCCTTTTGGAAAACATCAGTTGAAGTAACTAGATGGAGGAACGTACTATGCTGTTTAAAGTACCCTCTAGATTGGTTGAAAAGTAATTAACATTTATTTGGGCAGAAAACACAATATTCTGTTACGAAAATCAAGTAGCTTGGGTTTTCCTCTTTCTTAGCAAGGCCATTCATCTCTAAATGGATGGCTGCCTCTGAAAAAGGATAACATTTTTCTCAGTACAGGGTCTTTATCCAGTTTGTTGGACAAATTCAAGTTTGGGATGAGGTTCTATAGAGTACTGTACTGTACAGCTTGGAAGATGTGAAGACAGATGTGAACAGATTTCTACAAGGAGCTGTGGGGTAGGGTGGGACTGTGGAAACTGGCTATTTCTCAATAAAAGGTCTGTTCTGATTTTGAATGTCATTGCCTCCTGCTGGGCCTAAGACGGAAGAATTAAGTGTCTGGTACATTAACCAGGTAAAAATACTCAGATATTCTGCTTCTGTAATCTCCGCTTTAGAGAACTCAACTGTATTCAGTAAACCACATCCCAAACCCTACACTTGAAGCCCTAATACAACCCCTGGCTTCCATCACAAATCTAAAGGTACCTGCTGAATATCCACAGCATTCCCTCAGCCTGAACTCATCCTCTCTTCCACTGTCCAAAACAAGCCCTCCTTTAGATTTCTAGCCCATTTCTATAATTCTACCAGTTTCTCCCAGGTATTGCCAACATAGCCACTGTCTTCTCCTTTTCCTGCCAAAAGTAACTTTCCTTTGGTCAGTTACCAAAGCAGATAGATTTTTCTTCATGTTTCCTTTTTGTCCCTTCCCTTCAACTCATTCTGGGACTATCACAATTTTCTAATGTGCTCATCTGCCCCCAATTTCGGATACATTCAGTTCCTGAGAACCTATCTTTGTTAGCTTAATCTCCCTAAGCAACGCCTTACAAAGTAATAATAGTAAGTTAATACACATGTTTTACATGTGATGTTACATGTACTGTGCACAGTATGTATATTTTTTCAAGGTTCTCACAATGTCCTATGAAATAACTATTACTATCCGTTTTGCAGATAGGTTGAGGCACTTTAGAATTGACTGAAAGTTGCAATTAGTATGTGGCAGTTAAAAACCTTTCAGCAATGACAATATTCTTAATTAACTCCAGAGTCTAAGCACACAGACACACATTTTCTCTATGTATCTATCTTCCTTCCCCACCTGCTCAAAACACGGCCTTTCATTGCTTACAGAAGAAAGTTCCTGACCCGGAGCTCAGCATAGTCCACACAATACATTTTACCTACGTATTTTAATGTTTCTCGCACGCCTCCTTTTTTGCCTCCTCTCCAGCAGGATTGGTGGTCATTAGTAGTCGTCTTACGTTAATTACGCATGTATCACATCTACCAAATTAGTGAATTCCAAGAACATAGATCACGTCTTCGTCCAACACCTTCTAGAGCTGAGGCAACAGAAAGAGAAAATGAGGCTCAGGATTGGATGGTACAGTCCCGGAGAGTGTTAGGAACTGCGTTTTGACCTCATGTAAAAACACCATGTGTTAATACTTACGTTTCGCGGCGCTGGAGGGCACCAGAACGCTTTATTTAACCTAAAGGTGCCTAGGGGGTGCCCTTGCCCCCAACAAAGAGGGCCCCTGGTCACGTGAACCAATCAACTTGCTCTGTGCAAGGATTTTTTTTTTTTTTTTTTTTTTTTTGCGCCTTCTTCAGGTCTTTTCCTCCTAGAGCTGCGATGCAGCCAATCAGGGCGATCCCAAGCCGGCGTGCGTCAAACGTCAGAGACGGGGTGGAGTCAAGTTGGAATTTTGGCGGGTCTGACTGTAGAAAGGAACGGGTGCGGAGCAGCTAAGAAGCCGGTTGTGGCTGGGTGAGTGGTTCTCGGGCGGTGGGAGAGAGGGTCCACGACGAGCGTCTGAGGGAGAGGTTAGAGAGCTCTGGAAGCGAGAGGCGCGGAGCCCGCGGGCACTCGGGTGGGCGAGACGGGAAGCGGGGCGGCCTTAGGAGAGCGCCGGGCGGGCGCGACCGGGAGATTCGGTGGCTGAGAAGTTGGCGGGGCGCTTGCGAAAGATACCGTGGAGTGCCGTTTATTTCATTTAAGGGACCAATTTTTTCTTTTTAAAAGTAATCTTTAAAACACTTGCCAGGTGCATGCCGTTTAGGCTTCTCTTATTTATTCATTTTTTAAAAGTCACGATTTGAAAATAATGACTACGTACCATGTACGGGGCTCCAAACACTCATTTATGACCTGTGACGCTTACAATCTAAAGAAGATGACAAACGAGTGTACAATAGTGCAGTATTTTAAAGAAAAGGGTGAGTTGAGACGGTGGTCTGGAAAGGCTTAGAAAAAATGAGAGTTAAGCAGAGACCGAAGGGTGAGGAGCAGCTAGGGAAGAACTTTCCAAGTAGCTTGATACCTGTAAGCACTCTGTTCAAGAAGCTGAATGCAGTCTAGTCTTTTTTTTTGTTTTTAATTTTTTATTTTAGAGAGAGGGGAAAGGAGGGAGAGAATCATCAATGTGAGAGAGAAACCCCAACTGGGGACCAAACCCACAACCCAGGCATGTGCCCTTACCGAAATTGAACCAGGGGCCTTTGGTTTGCAGGCCAGTGTCCAACCAACTGAGCCACGCTGGCCAGGGCAGAATGCAGTCTAGTCTTGCTGGGACAGTTTGGAGGGGTGGGTAGGGTTCAGTGGAGTGGAGGCACAGAAAAGATAAGGAAGGAGGAGAAAGAAGACAAGAGAGAGAGTATCCATTGTCTCATAGCCTTTGTAAATTTTGTTCTAAGCGCAATGGAAGATCATCAAAGAACGGTTTACTAAAGGACTACTGCTATTGGAGTTGTGTTCCTAAAAAAAAGATTACTTGACTGTTGTTCAGAAAAGAGATTACAGAGGATCAAGGAAACTAATACAGGAAGCTAATGCAGTCAGTAGTCTGCACAGAAGATTGATGGTGGCTTTGACCGGGCTTTGGCAGTAAACTTGGGGAGAAGTGGAAGTTTTGAGCAATAGTGTGGGAACAGAACCCATAGCACTTGTCAGATGGCCCCCGATATGAGGGTGAGGAAAGGGCATGGGTTTGTGCCGACAAGGTGGTTAGTTACAGAAATAAACAAGACAGTTTTCTCCTTCTAAACTCTCGAGGAGCCTATAATCCAGCAGATTTCCCCAATAGATACCACAGTAATATTGTTTACAATTTGTCTCATCCATGTAATCTAGTATCATTAACTGTACCATACCTGAGTTTCTGTAACCATAGTTTGCAAAAAAAACAAAACAAAACAGAAAGTAGACTGCTTCCACTAGGAGGAAGATGGTGTTGGTGGTAGGGGGTGAGAAATGGTTGGAATTTGGATGAAGTCTGTGATAAGAGCCCCTAGGATTTGTAGGCCTCTGGATTTTGGGGTATGCAGTGTGAACAAGAAAACTGAGGGTGACTTCTCTAATGACGATTTCACAAAGCCAGGATTCTGCATTGCTGCCGTCTGTCTCCTGGGCACCTGACCCTCCTTCGAAGTTCCCTGTCACCACTGTTCCCTAGACAGCATGGATGGTAAGTCCTGGAAGTATTCTCAATTTTCCTTTGATTTTAGAAAACCACCCTTTTGTCTGTTGATTCGTCGGTTATCCTACTTGCAAAATAGTGAAAATAACTGTTCCATCCTCAAGTATTGTATGAGTGGATTCACTTCAGTCACTGAATGTTACTTGTTTTAATCAGGTGGGATTTCTACTCCTGGCTGCACTATTTGTTCATAATGATAGCTGGCAAGTACTTACAGTGTGCCAAACACTGCTCTAAGATCCTTAACTATATTCACAGTGAATTCTGAATGATAAAATCGGCTATTGGATGCATATAGAAAAAATAGTCTATTCTTGGAGTAGAATAAGACCTTTATTATTAGGTTACCACAGACCTTTAGAACTGAATTAGACGTGAGGTATAATTTTTGTATCACTTTGTATATATTTTAAATTTTATTTTGTATTTATTTAATAACAACACACGCCACTATAAAAGAGAAAAGATTTTGTCAAGGAACCTGAAGGCATGAGAGAGAAGCAAGGAGGTGAAGAATTTTTATAAGGCAGTGATTATAATGATGGAACATGGGTCCTAAGCGAAGACTGGAGGAATGGGGAATGAGGGGTGGTAAAAATGTCATAGGAGGGTTGATGGGTTGGAATTCTTAATAAAGATGGAGGGGAAGAAGGAGGCATCCCAAGGGACTTCAATAGAAGACAGCAAACAGGAGAGCTTCTTGATGAAAAAAATCTGATGTCATGTTCTTTGGTCTTGAAGAAAGGTTAATAGCTCCAAAGTGACGGAGATAAGCAAGAAGATATCGGGGCCCTCGAGTTGATTACCAAATATTTATTGTATGCCTCGTACATGCTGG